CGCAGCTGCTCTTCCAACCGACGGACCTGTTCCTCCTGTCGGTGAGCCTGTTCCTCCTGTCGGCGAGCCTGTTCCTCCTGTCGGCGCGCCTGTTCCTCCTGTCGGCGAGCCTGTTCATCCTGCTGCTCTTTCAACAGACGGGCCTGTTCCTCTCGTCCGCGCTGCAGCTGCTCCTGTAGCATCACCATCAGAGCACCTAAGTCAGGTGCTGCAGATGTAGGAGCTACTGACGGGCCCGCAGTCTCCGTGGCTGGCAGTTGGCCCTCCGACGTCTGCGGCGTTGCACCACCAAATCTCCTCTGGTCCGTCTCATGCTGGCGTTCACTGCGGCTACGGACACCCTACGTTTCCTCCTTAGGTAAAATCGACATGATTTTATCCCACTTCTGACACCAATTGTTACGAGCTTGAGGTTCGTGACAATAAAAATTGCCGATAGAATTACCTAAATTAACACTTTAATTTTCTTTACACAAATTAAAACTTAAAACACTAATAATTAAGCACACTGATTCACTATATTCCGCTCCGAAGCTTCGCTTGTCTCGCCGAATTCAATACTTCCCCGATCGCGTATTGCAGCGCCTTTATATAGGGCTCTTCCACGAAAACATCCAAAATATTCCAGAATATTCGAGTAAATACGCGCGCCAACCGCCCAAGCGCAGAAAGTTCGAGTCTCAGCTTCTAGAAGCTTAATTCTACGTTTCGACAACAGATGGCGCTGTCCGTTGAAAGATTAGTGACGTCATTTTCTGGAAAGCTCTCTCCTCGCTCTGTTACCCGACACTAGATGGCGCTAGTGCCAGATGTCAACTTAGCCGCGCAACAATATCATTATACAAATGCACTCTCATATTCGTAGTTAAACTGAATTTTGTCACCTTGTTCCATAAAATAGACGACTTGAGGCATGCTTTAATTTCATCTGCAGGTGTGCCCTTTTGAATGATAGGTAAAGTTTGGTGAAAGTCACCAGTCAGTAAAACCACCATTCCTCCCATTACATCGGTATTGCTGCGCAAATCCTGGAGCGTTCGATTTAGTGCTTCTACAGCTTTTTATGCGACATTGTACTTTCGTCCCACACTAAAAGTTTGCATTGTCGTAGCATTATACCTCGTGCACTATTTTTGCTAAAGTTGCAGATCGGCGATTCTTCCTGGGCTAGATTTAGAGGGACTTTTAAAACAGAATGTGCAGTGCGGCCCCCGATTAGCAGCGTGGCGGCTATACCGGAGGAAGCTACGGCCACAGTAATGTTTTTATCTTTCCGTACTAGCGCTAATAATAAATTTAACAAAAATGTCTTCCCAGTTCCTCCAGGGGCATCTATAAAGAAAAGTGCACCATTTCCAGATTCAATTTGTCCTAATACTTTGTCAAAAACTCGTTTTTGTTCGGGAAGCAAGCGGGGTACAAATTCGGCTACTTGCTGCTGCAAAGCTGGTATATCGTAGTTTGTTTCACGTATAATTTCATCACTTAGCTCATTTTCGTTGAGGGCTTATCATTCCAAAGTCGCTTAATTTTTTGTCTACTATTGCCATTACTTTATCTTCAATTTTTCCAAGTGCTTCATTATAAATGTGTTAATTGTATGTCATGTTTGCGTGTGTCTGCTGTAACCTTCGCAAAATATCTTCCGACATATAGTCTTTATATTTGTCCCACAATTCATGTGCATTAGATAGCCAGCGAGATGATATGAGAGTTGCATAAAGATCCCTAATTTTGGCTGGTGACTGGCACTGCACAGCTTCCTCCATGGTTTCATCCCAGTGATTATCGTTTTCTAAAAGATGCAGAGCTTCACATGCTACTCTATAAGTTGCGCATTCCTGACCGTTGATAGTTTTAAGGTCTTTATATCCTGTAGCACCCCGAACATGGTGCAGCAGCAATCGTAAACAGAAACATTCAATTTTAGTTACATGGACGGTATACACACGACCAAGGGCATCTAGCGACTTTACACCGGGCCAATTTGCAACAGGCGCGCCTTGAATACGGCGTTTCCACTCCTTCCTAGATGTGTTCCAAGAATAATAGCGGGGGACTTCAGAATATAACAACGTTTTTGCAAAGGGGTCGGTTTGACAAAGTTGAAAGAAGGCTGTTAGTGTAGTTTTTGGCGGTGATGCAATTCTTTCTTGGAAATTCGTCTTCGAATTCTTTCGGTGAAATATAAACACTCTCCATTTTCTAAGTGCACAGCAAGGTGAGTAACTGTTGGGTGCCTTTCGTGTAAAGGAAAGCCAAGGAGACGCCACGCTGCCTCGTTACTGCTGACATAACGCCCTGCTTGAAAGGTCTGTACTTCATTAACGAGATTTGCCTCACCTTCACTCCTGGGATTAAATATTGCTTGGTCGCTTCCTTCATTTATGTACTTACAGATATACTTGATTGCGCGGACAAAGCTACATGCTTCAACATTAATGTGGGCATTAAACATTTTACATAGAATGGGCGAATACGGGACAATCCAGCTGTTATCTAAGGTTTTGAACGCAACTTTAGCAAAAATAGTGCACGAGGTATAATGCTACGACAATGCAAACTCCAGAGCGAGATTTGATTGTAACTTTCCTGCCACCATCTTCGGGAGCTCTGCGTCTGTATAAAGGGTAGCCATTGTCATTGTGCACTGTTTCTTTAAATAGCTGTTTAGGTAATTTCTTTGTACATTTTCCTTCTTTCATAGATGGCAATATTGAATTTCGTGCTCCAGATGGACCGTGAATCATATTTCGGACGATGGTATCATACAATTCTTTATCTTACTCAGGATTTGGAATCTCAGCGCTTATTATGTCGTCTATTTGGCTGGGCCGCAACTTCTCTTTAAGCCATATTAGAATGTGGGCATGCGGTAATCCTCTTTTTCGCCATTCAAATCTGAAAAATTAAATTCCAACATGAAATCTCTCCGAAAATTTCCCCTTTGTTAATTACATACATTAATTTTTGTACTTTTAATCTAAATACTCAATCGCAACTAAATCGTGTCTGTCAGTACTTTTTTGGCCCGGCATTAGCTCCTCGGTTATTTCTTTCCATGTGGGATTGCAAGTAAAAGTAACAAAAAGATACGATACGATACGACGATACGATACGTACATAGGCGAATGCGTCTTGTGTGTACTCATGTAGGTAGCGGGGACTGCTAACGAATGATGAGGGCAGAATTACCATTTTACCTAAATCTCTGGGGTTTACATTGGCGTCGCTATAAACTGTATCTTGTAATGGTATATAATTCTCAACGCGCAGCTTTTTTTGATTTAAAGATATATAATGGAGACGTTCACTTTCTACCTTCACATACATGTCTACCAAAAATTCATGAAATAATTGTCTACACCGGGCTAAGAGGTTAAAATCATTTTCTCGCAACATCATATGATACGCATAAAAATCCATACATGATACTTTTTTGTTTGGAGTAGGCTCCTTTGTGACCGGGTTAATGAGTGGAATGGAATGGAATGGAATGAGATGTTTTCCCGCGGAAAAAAGTAGCCTATGTCACTCTACAGCCACCGAACTATCCCCATACCAAAATTCATGCCATGCCGACGCTCTGTTGCGACGTGAAAGAAGGACAAACTTTTGCATCATATTCTATTTTCCCACGGGAATGAGATGTTTTTCCGCGGAAAAAAGTTACCTATGTCACTCTACAGCCACCGAACAATCCCCGTACAAAAATTCATGCCATGCCGACGCTCTGTTGCGACGTGAAAGAAGGACAAACAAACAAACAAACAAACACACTTTCGCATTTATAATATTAGTATGAATGACTTACCTTACACAGTTGGGGATAACTATCATATAGTATTATTTGCTAATGACACTTCATTAATTTTCAAATTAAAACGACAGTTAATAAATTATGACGAAGTAAATAATGCTATATCTAAATTAGTAAATTGGTTTAATGTTAATAGTTTGCATTTAAATGGCACTAAATCGAAATGTATTAAATTCATAACTCCAAATATTAAACATGTTAATACTAATGTAATTTTAAATGAGGAGAACTGGGTCTTGTTGATACCAACATATTTCTTGGAATCACGCCAGACTCAAAGCTTCAATGGGGCCCCCATATATCAAAACGAGCAGCATATGCTGTAAAAAAGATTATAAGTCTTACTTATTAAGAAACAGCTTGACTAGTTTACTTTAGCTATTTCCATAGCATAATTTCGTATGGTATTTTGCTATGGGGACACGCGACTGACACTGTAATTATATTTGTTTTACGGAAGAGGCCATTAGAACAATATATGATTTAAAACCTTAAAAGTTGTTCAGACAAAGCGGAAAGGAAATTAATATATTAACTTTGGCGTCTTGAAAATGTAATGAATGTACACAAAAATAGAAGTAGTATTACAAAAATAAGTGATATTCATTCTGTAAAAACGTAGAACAGACACAAGCTAGTAGTACCAGTTACTCGACTCCACCGAAACAATAATTCATTCTTGGGGCGATGTATATATATACGTTTTTACAACAAAATCCCAGAAAATATACAAAATTTGATCTGCACAAATTTCAAAAATTTTATTAAACTAAGTTTGTATAAAAAAGGTTATTATAATATTAAGGAATTTATGGTTGATAATAACCTCTGGGAAAGATGATCGATACCAAGCTATTTCGAATTTGTTTTGTGTTCTTAATTGTAACATACATGATTGTAAGCTTTCATTTATATCGTTATTAAAAAAAAGTCCCGCTGGGTTACTTGCTGGTTCTTCCCAGAACAGAGGTTTTTTTCCGAACCAGTGGTAAATAAAAAAAGTGACTTTCAATAAGTGTTATTTATATTCTATGTTGATTAAAAAAGTTTCTGTTTCTGTATATATAATGTGTAAAATTAACTGCAGATCGTCCAGCGATGTGAGACGTTGTTTTATGATTGCGAATGGAAAGGAGACGCCGAAGAATGTTGTGATTTGTTAGTACCAGTATTCACAGAAATGGGTTTTTGTTACGCTTTCAATTCAAAGCACGCGGAGAGATCATGGCCATGGTAACGTCTAGAATGCCTAATGTGAGTTTTATAACAATGTGTATTTAGATACTTAATTGATTTCGTATTTTAATTTATTTCAGGCAAGTGCATACCGACAACGACCAGTTTACAGCGGCTTACATTCACGAGACGGATTCCAAATGGTCGTTTCTGTTTAATTCGTTTCGAAATACTTCGATAGTCGATGTACTTTGTCGTTTTTTATTTTAATGTCATTTACGTCATCATTTAGATTTAAGATAATATTTCGTTTTCACAAAAACAAATCACCGAAATGTTCGAATAAAACATAATCTAGATCATTACTAGCGTTGTTTGCTATCTATTCCTGCAGTTTCATTACAATCGGTTCAGATTTAGCCTAGATTAATTTGAACAGACAAATAGACAAATATGGTTATTCGTGTCTTAATAACCATCGATATATATATACTACGCACTAGATTTGGATTTCATTCCGAACACACTATGTTTAACTGAACTATACTGTAATCCGTACACCTGTTATTGTGGCTTCGACATTCATGCAGTGCGGAGCGGCGTTAATAATAATTTTATATTAAAAAAATGTTAACGAAAATTAAAAAAAATTACTCGATTAACAATACAATCTAAAACAATTATTTATTATGACAATTTTCGCGCGTTTATATCAACTGCGCATGCGCGACTCTACTGTTTCCTGCGCATGTGTAGTGCACATTTTTTGTTTGGAATAGCTTCTCTAGTACGTAGTACATATAACTCAATGTTAATAACATACAAATAGTCATCTGAGCTAATTTTAGGCAGTTATTTCGATATCACGGACAGACACTTCAATTTTATTTCTACGTATACATTTATAAGCTTTTACTCAGACTTAATTGCGTAGCACTTTAACAAAAATAAACCTGTACATTTATAATAATGGTTTTTAGACAAGTGGTTTCATTATTGAAAAACTATAATGGGAAAATGCTTAAAATAGTAATTATAAAAATTACTATTTTATTAAAAATATAATCAACTTAAAAGAGCAGGGACCAGGTACCCATGAGTTCTCCCATGACTATAGTCCGTAAAAATAGTATCATTTATTGTTTGATTCGGTTATTAACATTGATGAAATCATTATTATTTTCAAATCAAATCAACTCAAATAGTTTATTTGTGATTCACAGGTTACAAGAAGGTCTTAATTAAATACAAATAAAGTTCAGTCGGTGATCAGCCTCATGGGCATACAAATACTAATGTCAAATATCATTCGTAGCTCATAGATTTTATATTCATAGATAATAATAGATTAAATTATTCATCTTAAATATTATTATTAACATTGGATTAATGAAAAATCTAACCTTACATGAATAATCTACTCAAGTAAGATTAGATTGTTCATAAATGTTATTATATGTACAATTTTATTATATTATGTCGTGTTATACCGTTAACCGGACTTTAACCCTGAAAGTTTTAGTCTAAAAAAATTTAAGTCTAACTTTAACTCTTTCTCGGAAATATTATGACTAAATATAATTTATTTACTTAAAGTATCATTTAAGTGACGACGACATGTAACGTCCAACAACACCCATTGAAGCAGCGCAACCACAGAAATCGCAGAATGTTGCAGAAATTAAAGGAGACCTGTACTCAACAGTGGGACGTATATAGGCAGTAAAATAGCATTTTTTAAATAAAAATTAATGATAGGTGATATTAACTTAATGAATTTCAGATCTACATTCATTCAACAGAAGAAATGGCAGGATTAGAACAAAGCGCCCAACTTTCATGGGACCATAGTGTAGAGAAACTTTCATTCTCAGTTAAACACACGTACACAACGGCGGACGCAAGGCAGTTGTCGATTCGACAACGTCGATGTATTTTTGCCGACGAAGTGCATTTAGAAACATCCTCAATTTATACTTATTCAGCGTGCATGCGACAATGCCGTATGCGAAGGAGCCGCTCTTACTGTAAATGTGTGCCGCATTTCTATCCAAAGACAAGTACGTCTGTTTTCCACGATTAAATCGTGATATGCATCTTCGTATGAGAATCAAAATTTATTATGAATTTGACATATTATTGACATCATGATTGTCGTTATTGGTTTCATTTCAGCTATTTGTTACACGGCTTAAGCCGCTATACACGGAAACCGGATTAAAGCTACTTATTTTTCTTGATTAGGCTCTTATGAGGTTACCTACATTTTTATAACTATATCTTAAAACCATTATCATTACGCCCATCAAAGTTCACAGCTGAAGATATCATTGACTATCGCGGACATATGTCTTCCATTGATTATATTGGGGGGGGGGGGATTAATACCATAGTTGATATGCTTGACAAGCGGGTTGGCAACCGCAATTTTTGAAGTGAAAACTTCTTTAGCGGCGTTATACACTTTTTTGTAATGGGTAAAAAAATGTTAAACTCACGTCAGGACACGTGACCCTGATCGAAAATTCGTAAGACGGATGGAGAGAGAGAGACAGCCAGCGCGGTGTAGGAGAGGAAGTATCCCCCTCTCTTTCTACGGCGCGGCGAAAATGTATGCCTGCGCCTGCTGTTTCGTTTAGGCGGCGCAGGGCGCTTGCGCGAATGTTCGTGTGTGATAATTAAAGCAATTCGTGCAAAATTATTCCCTAATAATTCCAAAATATCAAAAATGTACAACGTTAATATTCAAGTTTTCACTTCTGCCGTTGTGTGAAGTGCAACCCGTCGTTGTTTTATTTTCATGCTGCTGTTATTCAAATCGGAGAATTTTTAATTAATTTTTCAGTTGTGTGTCATTAACAAATTAAATTTTTTTATAGAAGGTTATAGACAATGTACAGTACGCGAATTACAATGCATCGCAAAGTATGCAGCAGAGATTACGGACGTGACGCAATGCTCGTGTGAGCTTGGTTGTTCGCATACAGTGTACGAAGTGGAAAAACTAACTGAGATTGAGTAAATATTGTTTAATGAAATAATACACACATGTTTGTAATGATCAAAATCATAATTCAATAATTATTTCTTTAGCACAAGTAAAGATCCTGCAACCTCTGACTCATTGGAGACTGAGTTTGTATCGTGGCCTATGGTGCGATATAAACGTGAAGTGCTGTTCGGTTGGGTTGATTTATTGGGTAAGCTATGTCATTGTTAATTCTTTTAGAAGATGGGGCAAACGTCCCTGATTCGTATTAGTTCGGAAAAATCGTAGATGGTAAACGATTTAACAAAAAAGTCTCAATCGTGCGACATCAAAAGCTGCCTCGTGGCTGTATCACTGTTGAATATATGTACATATATAATAATGTCTTATGCTTATGAAAGGAGAGTTACAATCGAGCTGATGTAAGGAAAATCATGATGGAGCGTTTGAATCTTAACTCAAAGGCGATGTCTGATTGGGAAGATATACATTATGTTTCATCAATCATCATCATCATTACAGCCCTTCACAAGTTCACTGCTGAACATAGGCCTCCCCCAAGTAATGCCACAAAGCACGGTACTGAGCCACCTGCATCCATCGACTTTCTGCATGTCTTACTAGGTCGTCATCCATCCATCTAGTGGGGGGTCGATCTACACTACGCCTACCAGTACGAGGCTGCCACTCGAGAACCTTTCTTCCCCATCGGTTATCGGTTCTTCGAGCTATATGGCCGGCCCATTGCCACTTCAGCTTACTAATCCGTTAGGCTATGTCGCTCACTCTGGTTTTACTGCGGATATGCTCATTTCTGAGTCTATCACGCAGGGAAACTCCGAGTGTAGCCCTCTCCATAGCTCGCTGAGCGACCTTGAGCGTCCTCATACGGTCAGCAGTGAAGGACAACGTTTCAGATCCGTAAGTCATCACTGGCAACATGCACTGGTTGTACAAAATTCGTTTTCAGAGTTTGAGGTATACCTGACGAGAAGATGTGTCGTAATTTCCCGAACGCTGCCCAGTCGAGTTGAATCCGTCGATTGAGCATTATTTTTTTTACTTTACTGTTGTAATATTTGTCCTGGTGATGCTCACTATCAGCTAGTTTCATTGTACTCAGTGACACGTGTGATTAATCTTGTAGGTGATACTTTATTCCTGCAAGCAATGCTGCAAGGTATCACAAACAAAATCAGAGCAAGCCACGACGCATATCCAAGTAAATCCAGTATGTCAGCGTTCTTAAGGTTGTAATCTCTCCTTCAAAGTCCATTTAGCTACCAAACACCGTCACGTATAAATTCGACGCGAACAAAGCAAAAAATAGGAGCGGTTGCTTTGTTAAACGTTGGTAATAAAAGACAAGGAGGAAGACACTAGCGATAGTGAAGCTGGCAGCACAGACCAAGTTTTGTGACAGTTTTAAGGTAGACCTAGCTTGTGTTTATTCTAGGATTACGCCAATTTTGCGTTGTACATTTCTCTTGCTTTTCATGTCCAATCAGATGGGCAGAGAAATACAAAGTGTGAAAAATTGCATTTTCACAAATAAACCCTATTTACTTCCTTAAAGCTAAAAAAATATTACGTTAATAGTTGTGTCTCATGATGTATAAGTTTTGATCTTAGTCGACTAGTTTTTTTTTACTACTAAGTATAAGCTAATGCTTAACTACTATCCCACCTGATGGTAAGTGGTGATGCAGCCGAAGATGTTCAAGCGCGCTGAGTTCCTGTTCAACTCTTGCCTTGAAGTCACCTAAATTATAATCGGATGGAGAGACACATGCTGACAGCAAATACAGACGAAATAAAGTGAGTTTAGAAATTGATGTAAGTGGCTGGTGTAATAAAATTTTGATAGCAAGTACAAATTATTAAATATTACCTATTCTTTGGGCGAGAAGATTACATTCTACAAGCCCTTCGCTTTATAGTAACGCGTTTACGCTTAGTCTTGTTAACGTTGTTTGAATTAATTATACTTATTATAAGTTCTAATATACGTGGTAGAGCCTTTGAATAGAGAAGAAAGTCTCTAGTCAAAGGGTAGAGCCACGCTGCAGCTGTGTTATGGTTGTACTTAGACCATTAAATGGTCTAAGTGGTTGTAGCACGAATGGGTCGGCTCGACCGGGGAGGACCACGCTCTCACAAAATATCATCTTCAAATAGCAGCTTAATACTGTTGTGTTTCGTATGGTGAATGTAGAGATCCGGAGACCCTTTTTTACTGAAAACGAGGCATTCCATCTTAGTCCTCAGGGGTGACAACCCATCTGTGTTTTTATTCTTAAGCGAGTATAAATGTGTCTGTCTATGGGCCACAGCATCCACTTACCATCAGGTGGACTGTGTGCTCGTTTGTCACCCATATTCTATTAAAAAGAAACTAAATTATTAAAAATTTTTGTACCCTTTCTGACAAATCCTCAACTAAAGTGCGTAACGGTGCTTTGTTTCTTTTTACATATGGCATACTTACCTACGCATATTCGCCTCGCGGAAGCAAGGACGGGTTATGTCGGACTGGCACCGACTAAAACTGTGGTGTTCCACCTTCGCCGCTTTTTGGCAGGGTGACGAGAATACTTACGCACCCATCCGCGGCCCTATAGGCTTCAGCCGTGGCCTTCTCCCTCCTCTTTACGTCCTCAGGTAAGGCGCACCAGGAACTCAAGGCGCGCCTTTCTCCGCGGACTCTAACACCACCTGCGCAACGGCCACCCGCAAGCTAGATACGCAGAGGCCATGGGGCCAGAAAAAGCAAACACTCGGAAGTACCGGATTTCTTGACCTCAGCGCAGGATCTGGTCCTCCATCGCTAACAAACTTTAAGATGGAAGTGCGGCACCTCGTAATACCGACACTCTTCTCCCCCGAGGCCCCACTACAACGGCATCAACGGTGCAGCCCCGACACAGTCACGGAGGATAGGTCGAGTAGCGCATCGCCATACCAACTCTCCTATTCCCTCGCGACTCCACCTCGGCTGCGACGGAAATGTGGAGAGGACATTCCTTCTGCCACAATCCGCATCCGAAGTCTGCTAGGCAAACCCACTCGGTGCGGCCTCGAGCCAACCAAGTGGGTTCCACTTTGTTCACCGTGGCTGACTTTACATAGTATAAATAATAAATTGTATAATTAATTATTTGTATAGTTAAAATATTTAAAAAATAATAAATAAATTGGATTGGATTACACAAAGTTACATATTATTATTAGATTATAAACTAAAAAACTTGATTCATACTGTCGCCCTAATCACTTTGTAGGCGTCTTTGACAGTTCTATCTCGCCAGCAATGCAGTCAGCAATTTGCATTTAGAAAAACCCAAAATTAGGGGGTTTTTAGGTGTTAATTGGGTGACAAGTTTAAAAATTAGGTGCTCTTACATTCACTGCAACGAACTGTTGAATTTTGCGATCCTGGCAAAACGTATCTCTAGCAACGCAATGACGATATACGAGAAATATTAATTGCAAGGAAGAAGCGCTAACTAAATTCTGAAAGATTATTGAGATCGGATGTAGATGACGGTAATATTCTGGGAATGATCGGGTCCAGGATCACCATTACCATACTATAAGGTATGAACGGAATTTTTTGTTCTTTACGAGGGGTGATCCAAAAGTAATGATAATCGGTTACTTCAGGTCCGCATGAAAATCCAAAAAAAAAATATTTTTGCCTAAAAAAATCATACAAATAGATCACGATTTCCGGGAGATACATTCATTTGATACAAACTGTCAAAGAGATAACATCAACATGGAGAAAAACGAAATAAGAGCTGTCATCAAGTACCTCTGTTTGAAAAAAATGTCTTCAAAAGACATACACAGTGACTTAGTGGAAACATTGGGGGACTCTGCTCCTCCATATTCTACAGTTGCAAGCTGGGCCAAGGAGTTTAAACTGGGCAGAACATCCACTGAAGATGAACATCGCGAAGGACGCCCATCCACGTCCCTCACTGAAGACAACGTGAAAAAAGTCGAAGATGTTGTGTTGGCAGATCGAAGAGTGACCATCAGGCATGTAGCTGAGGTCACAGGGATCTTATATGGCAGCGTTCAAAGAATCCTTGCGAACGAGTTGCATATGAAAAAGGTCCCTGCGCGTTGGGTATCCAGAATGTTAACCGACGAGCAAAAGAAAAATCGAGTTGACATTTCGAGGGTCAATCTCGAAAAGTTCCAAGCAGATCAAGAAAATTTTTTGTTCCGTTTTGTGACTATGGACGAGACCTGGATTCACCATTTTGATCCTGAAACGAAACAACAATCGATGACTTGGAAGCGAGCCTCCTCACCGACGCCAAAGAAATTCAAAGTTTCAAGTTCGGCGGGAAAGGTTATGGCATCTGTTTTTTGGGACGCTCAAGGCATAATTATGGTGGAATATTTGGAAAAGGGAGCCACTATTACGGGCTCTTACTACGCAGACCAAATAAGAAGATTACGGGAGGCCATTAGGAAAAAAGACGCTGCAAACTGCGAGCTGGAGTGCTGTTTCACCAAGACAACGCACCGGCTCACAAAGCCGCAGTTGCGATGGCTGCCATTCAAGAAACGGGATTAGAACTGCTCGAACACCCTCCCTATTCGCCAGATCTAGCTCCTAGTGACTTCTACCTCTTTCTTCGGCTCAACGCCTCCAAGGCAAAAAATTCGAAGACGATAGCGAAGTAATGGCCGCTGTTGAAGCGTTTTGGGAGGGTCAAGACAAAGAATTTTTTTTCAAAGGGAATCCTGCGTTTAGAAAAAAGATGGACTAAATGTATTGATTTGTTAGGAGACTATGGAGAAAAATAAATTATTATTATAACTTTAATTACCGTGTTTTATTTTCATTATCATTACTTTTGGATCTCCCATCGTATCTATATTATAGGTAAGTCGAATCTGTACTAAAATCGAATCAGAACGCATTTTTGCAAAGCCGTAGGCGCGGAGGGTGAGCAGCCCCCGTCTCCTCAGTCCGCAGTAGCAAATCGCATGCGGGCTGGGGCTGCACTACCTGCAGCGCCGAAGTCGTTGCAGTAGTAACTTTTTTGCATCTGCTTTGTTTTGAATAACTTTATTTATATTAGGGGCGCCTAGACATTGCCTATACTTACAGTACTCAATTAGCACTTAATTCCTTGTATCTATTATCGTCCCTGCGTTGCTAGCAATACGTTTTGCTAGCAACTCAAATTTCAACAGTTCGTTGCGGCGGAAATTTTAGAGCACCTAATTTTGGCTTTTTCTAAATGAAAATTCCTGACTTTGCGTTGCTGGCGAGACACAACTCTCTTTGACACTTTGAAGGAATTTCTTCGTGATTCGACCCGTAAAACCCTTTGCGTTTTACGTGGAGGTTCGCAAACTCATTCCCTGCCAGACCCGCATGGGCTATTATCCAAATAAGTTGAATACTTTTTGTTGCTCCAAGATGGTACGTTTTTTGCAGGCCTTAGCTGCTAGGGGATGCTGGGAGTCTTGGTTCACAAGGGTCTCGAGTGCCGATCTCGAGTTACTGTAAATCCCAAAGCATACTTCAGTGCTGTTGAAGATTTGTTCAGTTGCCTTGTATGCCAAAAATTCAGTCTGGTAAACGGTACAGTAGTCGGACAGTTTAAACTTTAGAGTTTGGATTTTGGTTACACTATTCCAAATGGAAAGTGCTGTTCCGACCTTTCGCTCTATTTTGCTCCCGTCGGTAAATATTCGGAGACTGGATGTTATTGAGTCTCGTTTCGTTCTCATTTACCAGGAATACGAATGCCAAGTCCATTTAAGATGCTGGGTGGGGCAGTTCGGTAAGTTTCGCCCCTGTCTTCACAACACCGACTGGAGCTCCCCTCTATTTGCTATAAAGAGCGATGCTGCTTCCTGAATTCTTAGGTCCAATATCTCACCAGGTTAGGATGTTTTGGGTCTCGTCATTTTTGACATAAGTATAAATTTTAGATGTGTAAGTGAAAATTTAAATAAATTTGTATTACTTCGCAGTATCCTTCGGTGGTATTGCGGGACTCTTCCTCGGATTTTCACTTTTGTCTGGAGTGGAGCTAGTGTACTATTTCACTTTACGAGCGTGTTGCTCGGTTTGGAGGGATGCTGATATGTTGCGTCGCGAGCGCGCCGAAAGATTATCACGACCAAAGCCACCTTATAACCTTAGTCTTGTACCTTGGTAAGAACAATATTCTTTCATATAAAACACATCTCAATGTGCTACTAAAATTTTACAGCTTTGTCTTAAATTTGTATCATAATAATTACTTACTATAATAGATGACTAAAAAAGGTCTATACTTATGTTTTTTTATAGGATAGGGTGACAAACGAGCACACAGTCCACCTGATGGTATTTTAACTTTTTTTGTCCCTTTTTTAAAACAGTACTTAGTTACTGTGGCCCATAGAAATCTACATCCATCTTCAAATACGAATCAAATGCAGATGCGTTGTCACCCGTGAGTACTAAGATGGAATGCCTCGTTTCCAGTAAAAAGGGTCTCTGGTAAATCTTCATCAATTGTTAACGAATTTTATGATACTTTTTTATTAAACGATTCAGGAATGGTCCTTTATAAATTTCGAAAAAAAAAACACCCGTAATAGCGTAATATAAAAAATAGGAGATGGTAACTATGCATACGAAATTCTCGTTGTAGTTGTTACCTTGAGCTTGTTGTGAAGACCCTTAGTCCAAATTAAACTTCTAATAAATAGTAGAAGCCGACTTCAAAGAAACAAGAACAAAATAATTTCCATATACTTAACAGCTTTATAAATTTGGAGCTTTAATTCTTTTATTAGGTCTTAGCACCGACTACTAAAGCTGTTATGTAGAAAATATTTTATTCTTAGTTTAATTTTCAAAATGTAATTCACACATTCCTAGTCCCTTCACCCGTTTGTGCATACAATATGGCGTCATGCTTACGTAATACGTCTAAATAGCAATCAAAAATTAAAAATCACAGAAAAAACTGTGTTAATATTTTTCTTTTTCATGCAATTGAACTATTTATTATTTTAAGGTGGAAACAACCTCCAGAGTCTCAAGAAGTTCAACCGATTAAACTAAATGTGAAATATGTGCAGCCTCCACAATATTCCCCACCTCCAGGATACACTGATTATCTACCGTGATTCGAAATTAAGCGAGCTAATCTATAATTAATTATATATAAAATCTGTATACTTAATTTCGAGTTTGCTTAGCTTGTCAGTAGGTCTACGTTTTGAGATGTAGTACGTGTCACTTGATTTGTAAATCTGTTACAACTCAGGGACTAAGCACACGCTGTGAATTTCACAATATGCAAGCAACGTTTCAGTCCCCCGAAATTGTTAATTGCTTTTAAATTTAAATTTTAGGTGTTTATATAGCACGTGCTCCGCGGTGAAGGAAACGTCGTAATATTGAAATTAATATTTAATTAGAGGAAATAAAGCGTACTTACTAATTAAAGTCTGTTGTTTTATTGCCAGGATGCCGGGTCAAGACCGGATATTTTTATATTAGTTTGTGCGTGGCTTTTTTCAAAGTTATTATATGTAATAGACCAGACTTAAGCATTTCTTTTACTGATGATATGTCATAAAATATTATTCTTATACTTTTTAAACAATTTGGCAGTAATATTTAATTTATTACCCTAGCACTACAATCTCGTCGAAATTAGGCAAGGGAGCGCGTAGAAAGAGTTCTATAGCCCACTCACTTTAGCATTGGCACTAGATTTTGCAGGAACAGTCGTAATTAAATGGCTAAAATATTCTCAAAGAGAGAAATCAACTGACTTTAAATTTTAAATAAAACAAATAATTTAGTAATTATTTTTATTTGGTCACATCCATCTAAAAATGTCGCAAATAGTTATTCCTTAAATCGAACTACATTACCATGATATAATTTGGACACAAAACAGTCAACAAGTTCCAAAATCAGTAGTCTAATCATACAACAAGGATTCAAAAGTTCATAATAATGCAGTTCAATCAAACCAAAATCTTTTAAAGTTAAACAACTTTAAAAGAATACTCTATAAATCGGGTATGTGCGTATTTTATGAATTTCGATGGCTCCCAAAAGAACCTTATTCCAAAGCAACAAAATCTAAGTACTAACTCATTAGGAATGGTGCATAGTCTTCATAATACTCAAGTATCCTACTAGGCAAAGAATATTGCTCTTATCTTATAAAAATAACTATAGGTTTGTTGATACGTGTCTCCAAGTCTGCTATTATTTGGAATGCACCCGGTGATGGCGCCTGGGAACAAGCGTGTTTAATCAATTGCTTTAAACGGATGCCAGAAACTATGGAGTTTGCTAAATTTAAAATTGGCTATGAAGTATTAAAATTTGTAATAAATTGTTATAAAAAAATTATAAGGTGATTTCTCAACCACATCATTACAATACGGTGTAATAAAACTATAATATTGGCTGTAGTGATCCATTTTAATACGTTAACCCCTTTTTTCTTTTTTTTTATATAAAAACGTTACCTACCTGTAATTTAGGACTTTGTAATGTCAACACGGTTTACATTTGCTTGGCTGACTTTCTGCCTATTATGTCTATGTTTTAACCATACTGCATACACATCAGGGCTACTTGACTAATATTATATATAAAAATTATATCTGGTAACATTGTTGAACAATGAGATTATAACAATATTTTGCAGCAATTAACCGTCACTCTTGTTTCGTAATTAGAGTAAGCAATTGTCATTCTTATAAATATAAAACTACACTTCAAGAGTTTTTGTAAAACTCTGGAAACCTGTTTCTTTTTTAGAATATTATATAATTAAATAATTTAAAGGACACAAGTATTTATCTCAACTAAGTGAATAACATTATTTAATAATGGTAAAATAATAAGTACAATAAATGAAGTACAAGTAGTGGATATTTACAAATAAATAGTCCCAATTATATAAAATTTAACCTAATAAAGTAGTAGTAAATAAACCATACCACTCCTATTTACAAATTGTAATATTTTCTAATATTTTATAGGGAAACAAAAGCACGAGTTTAACAAATGGGAGATCAAAACTACACAAGTTGTTAGCTGACAATTAATTAACAAAAATATAACATAATTAGTATGTTGTGATAAAAACTAAGATTTCTGATTGAATTTTACTGGCGAAAAATAATAAGAAAATTCTTAAGTACTGCAAAGTTTTAACGATGTTTAGTTTTGATTAAATATAATATTAGTACATTTTGTAATGAAATTGTGGAAGAACAAAATCATAAAAAACATGGTTAAATTAATACTTCTTATATACATCCGCTATAGGTGAAAGTAATTAATAATAAGTACTAATAATTAAGAAAAGGATATCTTTATTCATTTTATTATAGTTTTTTTTGCAAGAAGTATTGTATAAGCCACATTTTAACTTTTATCTCCGTGTGGACTGGTAGACAATGACACAAGGTATTTAGTTCGCCTTGTTAATTCATTATTAAAAACATATAGATGCGTATAATTCGTCGAAATTACATTAGTCGACTGATAAAAGTAATGTAAAGTGCAAATCAAATTTGCATGCGATACAAAAGTAATAAATAAAAAAAAGCTATAAATACATAGGTGTATGTAATTTTTTATTTTATGGTTTCTGATATTGACGAAAATACAATATGTGTGGTCCACATTTTATATACCAGAGATAATTTATTATAACTAAGACGCATTAATATTTTAATATTGTTTTTATTATAGAATATTTCAAACAGATTTTTTAAATTTAAACTAGTAAGTAACACTAAATGTAAACTAGCAGTAATAACTTAGGCTTATTGAAAAAAATGTGACTGGCATTGTCGCTTAAGCTTTTCTGAAAGTAAACATATGTGTTATCAAATTACAAAAAATGAACTATAAGTACTATATAAATTATAACACAAAAATAAATTATGATAATTATCCATTACTATATTTCAATCAGTGTCGCAGTTCCTGTACAAACGTAAGATACTTTAAAGAAATATACAAATAAGCTTATAAATACGACTCCAAAAAATATTTTTCTATAATTAAAAACCCGGTACGCGGTGACCTGCTTTTGAAATCTTTAAAAAAAAAGAACAACAGTAACACTAACTCAAAGATATATCAATAAAGTGTATGTTATTAATAGTAATAAATATAAAATAATAGTAGATCAATTCCACAAAAAATGTTTTAAGTATACAACCAAATAAAATAAAATAAAATTTGTAAGTACATATTCGAGTATTTTGTCAACAAAAGTGGCAGTAGCTTGGGTAATGAAACAAACATTTTTTATAATAAGAAAAGATGGTTCTTATATAATTCTGCAAAATCACGTAATTTATGATTGTAATTATAGTTTATCATACTAGCTTGAAATAATCCTGTAACTATCTCTGTTAATTATCTTAGAATATTAAATTTATATATAATACAGTGAGTCTGGTCAGGGACTAGCGATATTTTAGATTCTTATATTACTGCTATTTTAATTGAAATAATACTAGCTTTTACGGAATTTATCGCGTATATTTAACTTTTTAAATACCCGACGTTTCGAACGCTTTACAGCGGGACTGAGTCCCGCCCGTGACCATGAGTGCTGTAAAGCGTTCGAAACGTCGGGTATTTAAAAAGTTAAATATACGCGATAAATTCCGTAAAAGCTAGTATTATTTCAATGTGTAATGTTCGCGTAAATATAAGAAATCATTACTATTTTAATACATAAATACACTACACACAGAGGTCTAATCCCCTTCCCCTCTGTGTGGCAGCCTGTTTTTTTACTTGAGATATTCTCTACGTGTGTACAAAAAAAATCATATCTCTCAAAGTTTTGGTCTTACAGAGATAAAAGGGGGGGTTTGGTTATTTAATTTTTGTCCAATAAAATAGCGTGATTTAGTAGACCAAAACTTTCAGACATATGAATTTTTTGTACACACCTCTGGAGAATATCTCAAGAAAAAAATGGCTGCCACATAGAGGGGAAGGGGATTAGACTTCAGTGTGTAGTGAATTAAAATAGTAGTAATATAAGAACCTAGAATATGGCTAGTCCGTGACGGACACACGGTATAATCTATCAATATTTTATTCGTCATTTTAAAAAACTGATAGTTTCCAAAAAAATTGTGGATGTGTTCCTCAATTTGTGTGATTTGAGGGAAACTGTTTATGCACAATAAATTACGATTGCTACAAGAATATAAAATGTTCAACTAATGGGATCATTAAATGGCCCTGTTTAATATAAGTTTATTCACATTCTATCGAAAACTGTAGCCACATAACTATATTAAACATTAATGCTGGGGCCACACTAACGGGAAACGCCGTTAATTAACGCGATGATGGACGTTTAACGTTGGTACAGCCACGACTTATCGCGAAAATTTTACAACGGCGTTCACATTGCCCACATGCACATTCTTTGTCATTGTGCACCGTAAGTAGGACGGGATCGCACGTGCATGTTTGTCTTCGATATGGAGTAGAGACTAACGTGAAAGTCGTTGTTTCTCTTAATTATGCAAACAGAGCCATGTGTGTTGGATTTGAAGCACAAACGTTATAAGAGAATCGTGCATCACAAAATGATGATTGGCGACAAATACTGCAATTATTACAATTTAAAACAACAATCAAAGCAATTAAAAAGAAAAAGGAAACCCTAATAGGTTATTACACAGGTTGGGCCAGAATAAAGCTCACTTTTTTTTGGCAAATAGATCGTCATACGTGGGAAGTAGCGGGGTGCGCGGGGTGTGATCGGGTCACACGTCTTACGCAATTTTAGTCGCCATGAGTCAGTACACGGGGGAGCAGCGCGCGTTCGCGGTTCAAGCGTTTTACGAAAATGGTCGTTCTTACATTACTGTGCGGCGTATGTTCAGAGTTAAATTCAATTTACGGAGTATCCGGCAGTGTCCTAGTACTCAGTTGCTAAAACGATGGCTGAAGAGGTTCCAAGATACTGGTTCGACGCTACCAATGAGACGTCAAGGTCGCCCCCGTACTTTACGCACGGAGCAAGCGATTCAGGAGGTTAATCGATCTGTGCGAGAAAATGCGGAACTCTCTACGCGACGACGTCCAGACTTTGGGGATTTCGCGAAGCAGCTTAAGACGAATTTTGAGACAAGATTTGAAGCTTCATCCTTATAAGATCCAGTTGGTGCAAGAACTTTCCCATGATGACCATACAAAAAGGGCGTCATTTTCTACCTTGATGTTAGAGCGGTTTTCCAACTTCGAGAACATCCTTTTCTCGGACGAAGCCCACTTTCACCTCAACGGATTTGTCAACAAGCAGAATTGCCGTTTGCTAGCCTTTTCGCAAGCATCAAAAGCCGCTCCACTGCCAAAAAGTGACGGTTTGGGCTGCCATTTCAGCCAAAGGGCTGATTGGGCCTTATTTCTTTAATATTATCGGGTCACGCAGTAACCTTTAATACAGACCGTTATGTGGAAATACTTCAAAAGTTTTTAAGGCCAAGCCTTGCTGGGGTGCAAGAGTACAACTCCCTGACCTGGTTCCAGCAGGATGGGGCCACCTGCCACACGTCTAATGCCAGCATGGAGGTCGTACAAGAGCTGTTCCCCGGTAAAGTCATCTCAAAGAGAGGTAACATCGAGTGGCCACCACGAAGCCCAGACTTGTCCCCACCGGATTTCTTTTTGTGGGGATTTCTCAAAAATAAGGTCTATTCCAATAAACCGAGGACAATTACTGCTTTAAAAGCGAACATTCGAGCAGAAATGGCGGCCATATCGACAGCAACGTGCCGGCGTGTTTTTGAAAATTTAAAGTCCTGCTTAGAAGAGTGTTTGCGGCGAGACGGGGAACACCTAGACGATGTTATTTTCAAGAAATAAATTAAATTAATGTTAAATTAAGTTACTTTTTGAATAAACTCTCTAAGTATTATCAGTCTTTTTTTATATGGGTTTCAAAAGTGAACTTTATTCTGGCCCACCCTGTAGAACGCATTTCATTGAAGAACACAACATTAACGCCAATGTTATTGCCAAGAATGAGCATTGATGTTATTCTTTCAAGTGTGGCCACTCCATTTAACGCGTTAATAATTAATGCAATATTTATCGCGATGATGGACATTGACGTTTCTCGTTACTGTGACCCCAGCATAAAGACTGACAAAGCAAATATATGTTGCAGAAGTGAATGGAAGCGTCGGAATGGGACGTCCTAGGCGGAAGTTTGTCGACCAAATGAGCGATATACTAAAAATGGGCCAAATTAAGAGTACCCTTAACCGACGAGCATGTATGCGTAGGTATATGGATGTGGAGGAGGCGAGAGAGGTATATCAGGATCGTGCTAAATGGAAGTCTGTAGTCTCTGCTTACCCCTCTGGGTGACAGGCGTGAGTGTTTATGTATGTATGTATGTAACACAACATTAACGCCAATCTTATTGCCAAGAATCAGCATTGATGTTATTCATTCAAGTGTGGCCACACCATTTAACGTGTTAATAATTAATGCAATATTTATCGCGATGATGGATATTGGCGTTTCCCGTTACTGTGACCCCAGCATAAAAAAAAGCGGAAGCCACGGGCAAAAAAGAATATACAGGGTGTTAGTGTAAACACGGTTATCCTTGAAACCAGTGGTTTGGTGTCACTTATAGAACGTAAATTCAATGAAAAATAACATTTTTTTAGAAGTAAAATCTCAAATTTTCCTTAATTCCTCAATTTTTGCCTGTCCTAAGCCAGGATGAAAGTATGAAGGAAAAGTTACATCACAGGTTATGTGTACCTATTGTGTTTTTATTGGAATGTAGTGTAGGTAGTTAGCGCGGGCGGTGAGGTTTACAGTGATTACGTCACTCGGGCGCATAGGGTATCCATAAATTTACAGGCGTTGTCGTACAGAGTCCTTTATGAAAGAAAATAGTGTTTTTTTTCAATTCATTGAAATTACTTTCTAAAAAGGGAACCAAACCAATGGTTTCAAGGATAACGGTGTTTACACTGTAACATGTATGATGTAACATCCTGTAAAATAAAATTGTTACATTATAATTATAAACCTTCTGTTAATTAGTCAAAAGGTATATTTTTATTTGTTGAACATGATTTAATAACTTTAGTCATGTTTTATGCTTCATTTTAGTCTATTTCCTTAGCTTTTCATGTTCCAAATAGTTTTAATTTTTTATAAAACTTATGATGGATATGAAAGTATGTAAGTATAATGAACTTCTAATTTAACTATTAAAAACGTGTCGGAGTGGATGGAAGCTCAGTTCACGACGTATGTAAATCTAACAGTAAAGATCGAGTGGGAAAAATGTATAAAAGTTAAAATATACAACCCGCGCGCAAGTTTTTCGATTATGTAACGATCGTACCGTTGCTATAGTGCCCGCGTTATCAATTGAGTCGTCGGGCCATAAATGCCAATAAGAGTAGGAATGTGCCACCGCTGTGAGCCACTCGCTACTCGCGGTGAGTCCACCTTATCGCGACGGACAAAGCTGTGGAACATGCAGGAGTGGTTAACGAAAAATAACATCGCATTTACAAATATATTTCATTATTAGGAAGGACTGTTACGAAAAGTTAGAGAGTAGGCCTAAAAAAAATTTTAATGATCAGCTGGCAAATGAAAACGGTCATGAAGTGATATGACTGTCACCATTACTTTTAAAATAGCCGATGTTGAAGTTCTACATAAAGCAATAGAAAACGTTACCAGGGAAAACTGGGTTAAATTGTGTGAAGCATTCACAAGAACTCCAGGAAACGGATTCGAAAAAAAGCTTTTTTGAGAGATATAGTTGGACTTTTGATTATAAATCTACAGGAAGATGATAGTGACACAGATGAAGGCCGAAGAAAATTATTTGTTATATAATAAAATATTTATAAATGTAGATTAATTTTATTTATTTTATAATTTCAAACCTTAAAAAATTCATTCATTAAATCTTATCGATATCAACTACCTGCTGTTACGCACATCATTATGACGCTCTATAAGCACAATAAGTGCGAGCGAGAAAGATTGATTACAATGATTTAATGCCCGACGACTCAGTTGTTAACGTGGGCTCTATAGTAGACCTGCGTCCTTCGATCAACAATACCAACTAGATGTCGGGTCGGCGCAAGAAATCCATATCAGTAAATAAGAGCGCACATGAGACGTGAGCTCTTGCACATGAATGTAGCTCTCCAGGCAATAACGGGAAAAAGAACTTTATTTGTTATAATTTAAGGTTGATTTCACACTAAATGTTATTTAATTTATGTCTTTTCATAGTTTATGTGCATGCGGACAGTATTTAGCTATGATTTTGTACGTGACCCGTTGTCTAGTTGGTATTGTTGATCGAAGCCTGTGTCGATCGATCATTTCTCGTAACCCGGGTCGATTATGACCCACTCGTATGGTGATCGGGTTAAAAAGATTCGATCGTTTCGATCATTTGGGTCGCAGCTCGTTTGTATACTTTGTATGACCTAATGAAGAATGCTGAACGGGTGCTATAATAGTAATAATATATACTACGATTTGTTTATTGGTTGAATTGTGTGTAAACGAAGGAGACAGAAGAAATTTTGTTTATTACGTCGTTGTGTGATTGATTGCACGATTCGATAAATTATAAGTATGTAAAAATACGCAAAAAAAAAAGTAGAATTTGGTTTGTCTTGTCACCTTGAAATCGGGTCAAATAAGATCGAATCTTTAAGAGATCCATGATTCGATCACTCGTCAGGTTGCAATCGAATCAAAAAGATTCGATCGATCGCGATCGACACAGGACTACTCTATAGTGGTACTGAGTAGATAAGTGCCGCACGCGGTTGGCGCAAGTTTAAGGAGTGATCATCGGCAAACCTGCGCGTGGCCTATATTAAAAAAAAAACCGATTCGAGTCCATATTAAGGGTTGAAGACGACAGGCCTTTTCCGAGAGCTTTACTCAAATTCACGTAAACTTATTTGATACTTTATACATTTTTTTTGGCTTTAAACTGGCTTCCTTGCGCTTCGAGAACTACGAATGTTATTTATAATTACTGTTTAAAATCATATACATTTACATAACTGTCACGATAAGGTCCACGATACTGGGGCAATGGTTACGTAACGGGATCCAAGTTGTCAGCATACGTGAGCCGGTGAGTGTGGAACCCAAAGAGGGCATGAGGCGTCGGCCGCCACTTCCTCCTTGTCAGAACATCTTCGTCGAATCAGACGGAAGAATGAACTGAACCGTTCCGCTTCTGACAGGGTTGCCTGTAACCGTGAATATTATTTTATTTATTTTTTTAAACATTAGGATTATATACACACTATGATTTTCTCCTGTATTTTAGATACCTAAGCGCCGAAACTCATTGCTGCGTTCACTGTGCCACGGCACTATAGTGTATTTGATGATAAAAGTTACTGTGACCCCAGCATAAAGAAAGCGGAAGCCATGGGCAAAAAAGAACATAAAATAAAATTGTTGCATTATAATTATAAACCTTCTGTTAAATAGTCAAAAGGTATATTTTTATTTGTTGAAAATTATTTAATAACTGCAGTCATGTTTTATGCTTCATTTTAATCTATTTCCTTAGCTTTTCATGTTCCATAAATTAGTTTTAAATTTTTATAAAACTTATGATGGATATGATAAGGAGCCAAGTAAGTAATGAACATCTAATTTAACTATTCAAAAAATGTGTATGAGTGGACGGAGTGAATATTATTTTATTTCTTTTTTTTAAACATTATGATTACATATACACTAGGATTTTCTCCTGTATTTTAGATCCCCAAGCGCCGAAGCTCATTGCTGCGGCCACTGTGCCACGGCACTATAGTGTACTTAATGATAAAATATTCCTGGCACATGGACCACGAGACAACATCCGAACGCTATCGAAAGCTAAGAAATGCGCAGGAGATATTTCAAAAATCAAAGCCAAAATGAAAATATGTTGACTTTTATAGATTTTAATTAATATTTATTATTAAAATAATAGCGCAGGGCTTAATGTGCCTTTACGACGCGCTCGCCGCGCCACGCGCCGTCTGTCGCCCCTGTTAAGGGTGCCGCGCGCTGGTACTAATTACGCGTGTAATGCACTCCGCTCGCGTCTACCCAGCCTTTACAACGAATTTTTTGGAGAAATTGATATTTTTAACCACAGTAAGAACGCTTTTAGGCGCTTAGCTATTGAAAGTCTTAAACTTAAAACCCAAAATAAAATTAAATATACATAACATAATTTATAACTTAAAGTAAAGTAAAATAATAATATTATACTGCTAATCTAGTGTATAATAAATAACATGAGTGTATTCGTGTATTTGTTTCTATAAAAAAAAACTTGTGTGTATTTGTTGTCACCGTTGAACAGTGTGATGTTAATGATTTCATTAATGTACATGTACATATTTTCATGAATTTTTTATGAAACATTCGAATGTGCGTGCTGCCTGAGGGACAAATGTGCAACAATTTAATGATTTATGTGTAAATATAAGTTTATACCTACTGGTTACTAATTACTACGACCGTAGTATGCTATGTCATAGTAAATAATGGAAACCTGTTATTGGCCTTATTATAAGAATACTAGTAAACTATATGAACGCTGTTGGTTTCTTAATAAATAAAAAAAAGTAAAGTTAGAAATGGTCCCTTGTGCAGGATACAAGATACAAAACGAAAAATTATCAACGTAAGATACTCCAATTAGGGCACTAAATGACAATATATTAAATATTTTCTTTAGTTATATTAGCATTACATAATTTTTGCTAAAACTATAGACATACTTATCATTTTAAAGGGGAATATTTATTATGGAGCAAAATACATATATAAAGATCACGAAATATGCGTTAAGTGTTAAATAATTGGCGTGTTTTAAAAATATGGCAAAAATATAATTGTGCACGTACCTCAATAGCAATAGCCAGTAACAAATGAAGTATTGGTATGATCAGTAAATAAATGCGGAAAATGTTCTGTTCTGTCTCTGCCACATTCATGACTTCAACCTCCATTAGATTCGCTAACCATGTCCATGGGGCCAGTATGAGTACAATCACAAATATAGATTGTGTTACTAGTGTTATTACCATATAATCTGAAAAAAAAATTGCCACATTATCAATGATTTCATTGCGTTGTTACTTGATAACTATACAAAGAATAATAATACAGAATAATACGGAGTGATAATGGTTAGACTGAAATTTTTTCGATCGCTGTGTTGAAGACACCAGATATTCTAGAAGGACATATCTATAGGTTGGGATAACGGGGGACACAGTTTGGACAGCATGCCTTCTCCTATGCCGATTACAGCAAATTCAGATTGTTTGGATGTATTATTATGTACATACGTTACTGTTTGCTAACAGAATTTAGCGCCATATTTTATTTCATATTATGTCCTCAAAATTACAACACATCTTCTCGTCAGGTATACCTTAAAACCTGAAAACTTAGTTGAACAACCAGTGCGTGTTGCCAGAGATGACCTATGGATCTGAGACGTGATCCGTCACTGTTGACCGTATTAGGACGCTCATTCGCTCAGCGAGCTATGGAGAGTGCTATGCTCGGAGTTTCTCTGGGTGATAAACTTAGAAATGAGGATATCCGCAGTAGAACCAGAGTGACCGACGTAGCCCAACGGATTAGTAAGTTGAAGTGGCAATGGGCCGGCCATATAGCTCGAAAAACCAACAACCGTTGGGGAAAAAAGGTTCTCGAGTGGTAGCCTCGTACCGGTAGGCATAGTGTAGGGCGTCCCCCCACTAGATGGAGTGACGACCTGGTAAGACATGCAGGAAGTCGATGGATGCAGGTGGCTCAGGACCGTGCTTTGTGGCATACCTTCGGGGAGGCCTATGTTCAGCAGTGGACTTGTGAAGGGCTGTAATGATGATGATGATGATGATGATATGTCCTCAAAATTGATAATAGGAAATGTCAGAAACATCTTGTGTGCTTTGACAGATTTCGTGACAAACATTTCGATTTCATCAGAACGTAAGTTTTTGAGACCAGCGACGATTAAGCAGAAATATCTGACACTACTTTAGCTATTCGTGTTAACAAATTTGACGCAGGTATGCAACTAAAATACGCATTCCGGCTATTGAAGTCAATTTTATAGTCCAAAATGTATATGATAAATAATAGACCCTTATCTATGAAATTGCTATTCTGCAGTACTGTCCATTTCAAATCAAAATAATTTTTGTTTGGCTAAGAATTCTAATTACAAATGAATTTTATTTTGAAAACATGGAATTCTTTTTTCAAAATTATGTTTTTTCATCGCATTTGAATCTTTTTCGTTATCATGGATAATACGTTAAAAATTCTAGTAATTATGGAATATGAGTACCCGTCGTGGCAGCAGTGCTTGGTGGTCTAGCACTTGGTTACTGGTCAATGGTCTAGCGCCGGTGTGATTTATCACAGTTTCTAACCAACGGGATTAGCATTACTGCAGATGTGTACTGTGAATAACTGAACACAGTGATAGAGAAGCTCGCACGTTTCCAATCAGATTTGGTCAATCGTTCGCTCCAGCACGATAACGTGCGACTTCATACTGCACAACAGACGATCTCCAAGAGCTGGAGGTGAGAGCTCTCCGTCATCCGCTCTAATCACTAAACTACAGACTTCCACTTTTTCAGAATTGGGATAACTTTTTGGTGGACAAAAATAGAATACCCGAGAGGCCGTTCAAAATGCCTTTGAAAAATTTGTTGCCTCCCATCCAGCTGATTTCTTCAAGAAGGGCATCAATAAACTGCCATTGTGTTGCCAAAGATGATTACTTTGTTTAATAGAAATAAAAAATCAAGAAAAAAAAATCACCGTTGCGTACTAACTTATTTCATAAAAAACGACAATTTCTTAGGTAAAGACCTAATATAATGTTTCACATGCGACTTTACAAATATAAAATGGATAAAACTTTAGAGTATACATAAGCAAAATATAGAGCGTGAGTTAGCGAGTATGAACTGTAAGCAAGGGTATGAATAGTTTTGAAATTGCAAGGGCGACGCTAATAATCTCAAAAGGACACACGGGTTGATTGTTTCTCTTGTCAGTATTTACTTCAATTTTAAGTTACCGTGTACAATGTGCAGTAACAGGTTGTGAAAACGATTCACTGAAGCAGACATAGAGGAATAATGATATTTCTTTTCAATTTTGACATAATTAATTTGGATGTCAAAGAATGTAGCAGGAGGCGGCGCGGCACACAGCATCCACTACACAGCACGTGCTCTCGCGTTGCACACGAAGATTTTGTAGAAGAGAAGAGATTTAGAGAAGAGTTTGTTTTTTCTTTCCTAATAATAATATAATTGTAGAGTCGTAGTATAAGAAATAAAGATCCTTTTTATTAAAATTACAAACCAGTAGCTCAATGTTTAAAATAAAACTTTTGAATAGCTTTGTTATATAGGTACATAACAAATTTTTCATTCTTTAGGGCGAATCTCATGAACAACCACGGGGCTCATCCCCATATATTTTACGGATATATTTATTGCTTGCGTGGCGCTTTAGGATGTTTGCCGCAAAAGATTTTCTTAATTAACCATCTAAGATAAATAGTAAGATTAATAAAATAAGATATTCCTACGTGGCAATCAAATTAGGAAAAACTTGAACATTTTATTACCGCCATTGCTTGGGAAAGGAGATCAAAAATATTGCTAACAAGAATACTTAAAATTTGAGAAAAAGATTGATGTCAAATATCAGTTCACTGTACAGGAACTTGATCCGTCAATGAGTCGCTTCAGAGCCCGAAATATCTCACAGGGATCCTGCTCGGGTATAAGGATTACGGTAATATAAGGATCCCGGATATGTATAAGAAAGTGTAAGAGGAAGGAAGGAAGAAGGTAAATACGATTAAAATACATTTCTAATTTCAGATATCCAAAAAGCAGTGAATTAGAAAATAAATAAATGGATGGTAGCAATAAAAAGCCCTGGCAGCCCAATATCAGGAGTTTCGTTTGTTACATCCATTTTAGTAGACAGCGCAAGCTGATTGGATTGGATTGCTTAAATTTGAAGTAAGAATACACTTATTTTGAAAGTAAAAAGTACATAGCTTTGGCAGTTATTTATTTGGGTAAAACTGGACGTCATTCAAAAATATATTGACAGTAGAATGAAATCGAGAGTAGAATAAACAGAGTAGAAACGCGGTAGTTAAGGAGTATGTTAGGGCAGAATCTAAGTGACAGGGTGAGAAATTGTGTGATAAGAGAAGAGTGTGGTTTGCAAGATGATGTGACCAGGATTAAGAAAGGATGCTTCGGTGGTTTGGTCATGTAGAAAGAATGAATGAGGAAGAGTGCGTGCATAAGCGTCTATCTTAGCGCATCACTATTCAACCGCTTCATCTATGTATCAGCGTACACAATTTTTTTAATTAACTAGCTTTACGGCTCTGGGTTCTAGCCTAGCGTACAAAAAGATGAAGCGAGCTGTAAAACACGCGAGAACGGGGGATACGTACTCTCTAAAGCTTGCTTATAAAACCCTAAGGATAAAACTATTGACAAGGGTTAAGTAAATAACAATAAAATTTTACGTACAATTGGCACAGAAAGGCTGACGGTATGGCCAACCCTTAGCATACACGCACGCCATTATCAAATATTGGAATGAAGAAATGATAAATATGACTGTGTTTTCCCAGCAAAGCACTTGTTCCACGTCAGGTCCCCCTTCCACTGAGACATGCCTGGAAAGATTTTTACTATCAGTAAATTTAACTTTAGAATTGTTGACTATATAGTCATGACTTGACTGCCTCGTTGGTTTAGTGGTTGTAGTAGTGCGACTGTTGATCATGAGATCCTGGGTTCGAATCCCGGGTCGGGCCAATAAATTTATGAGTTCTTCCGTCAAGATAATCTCAGTAGCTGCCCGGAGTCAGGAAGTTTGCGGTGGCTCACACCCGTACCTCGGAAAGCACGTAAAGCTGTTGGTCCTACGCCTGATTTCTCTCCGGTCATGGCGGTTTACCTTCCCGTCGGACTATGAGAGTGAGGGAATAGAGAGTGCACCTGTGCTTGCGCATACACTTAGGCACTATAATCCTGTCCTGCGCCGATGTCCAGTCTTCGTTGAGGCTGGCCGCTGTGACCGATATTCGGTCTGGAGGACATTATTATATAGTCATCCCACAGTGATTAAGCGCTCGTCATAATTTTCATATGACGCGAATAATACGCCAATCGATGGATCTAACAATTTTTTATCATTGACACAGGAAAATGCTACTACTAATCGCTGGTTTGTTTCCCTCTATCGGCCACCTACGGAACGCTTGCCAAGCGTGGCAACTATGGCAAAAGAGAAAAATGGCATCATGGGACCCTACGCTGCAATCTTTGGGGGAAACCTATGTTCAGCAGTGGAATTTAATTAGGCTGTTACGGTACTATTTATCTGTTGTTGCGAGAACACGGGAATCCGTTGATTCGTTTCGTCTTTGTTTCTCATGAAGAAGCGATTTCGCGTAATTCTAGAAAGATACAGAAAAGATTCAATAACAGATCAAGAGTGATTTATATCTTAGTCTTCAGAAGTGACTATGCAATTGTGATTTTTGTTACTCGAAATTGATAGCAGGTGACCATGAGCTGCAATAGACACTTACTGTCATAAGGACTGTTATTTTGAAATTGTATATTATTATTTTTTTATAGAAGAGGGGGCAAACGAGCATGCGGCTCACCTGATGTTAAGTGACTACCGCCGCCCATGATCAACCGCAACACCAGGGGAATTGCAGGTGCGTTGCTGCCCTTTAGAAAGGAGTAAGTTCTTTTCTTGAAGGTCCCCAGGTGGTATCGGTCCGGTAAAATCGCCGGTGGTAAACTATTCCACAGAGAGGTTGTACGCGCAAGAAAACTCCTTTTGAAAAGTACAGTGGTTGACCACCAAGCATCCAGATGGTGTGGATGGGGACGTTTGCCGCCTAGTGCGTTCACGAATTTTATAAAGAAGTGTTTGAAAAAGCTGACACTGGAAATGATTACCGCGTCAGCAACGTGCCGGCTTAGCACCGACAGAGTCAAGCGCAAAACTCACCACGGTTACAAGTATACTACGTACACAGGTGCGCAAGTTATTACGGCAAGTATGAAGTGAGTTTTATACGTGGTAGAGCCATGCTGCAATTATATTAGCAGTATAGTTGTAGCACGAATGGGTCGGCTCGACCGGGGAAGGACCACGCTCTCACAGAATACCAGCGTGAAATAGTAGCTTAATGCTGCTGTGTTTCGTATGGTGAGTGTAGAGAACCGGAGACCCTTTTTACTGGAAACGAGGCATTCCATCTCAGTGCTCACGGGTGACAACGCATCTGCATTTTGATTTGTAATCAAAGATAGATGTAGATGTCTATGGGCCACAGTAACCACTTACCATCAGGTGGACTGTGTGCTCCTTTGTCACCCTATCCTATAAAAAAAGTGTGTGTATGAAGCTATGAAGTCATATATTAATATAGTTTCATGTGTAGTGAGAACACGAGACACAAAAAACGCGAGAACATTAAGTGTATCTAGATGATAGGACTACCTTTAAGTGTAAAGACTACTTTCCCATCCAAGTCTGTTATCGTTACAGCCTATCAAAGTTCACTGTTGAAAATAGTTCTCTACCATAGATTTCCTCATGAAGGGAATATTTGCTATAGTTGTCATGCTTGGTAAACTTTGGCGACCGCACCGTGTAGTGGCAGTGTAATATCCACTACCCTATACCCTATACCGTGAGTGTCGTACGAGACAGAGCAAAACAAATCGGGAGATGGGGACAGCGTCTTCATAATAATGACTAAAACGAATAAAAAGTGCGGTTCCCCAATAGGCCGGATGGGTAATATTGAAAGAAGCATCTGACCAGGGCTGCGAGTGCAGCAAGTAGACGGCGGCGAGCTGCAGCGCCAGCACGAGCGCGACCTGCGCCGTGAGCGGCAGCAGGCTGGGCGCCGCCACCAGCGACACGGGCGGCGAGCGCCGCGTGAGCCGCGGGCCCGGCGCCGCGCGCCCCAGCGACAGCGCCAGCAGCGTCGTCAGCACCAGGTCGATGTACAGGAACTGGTTGTTCCCCAGGATCGAGTAGTACTGCAATCATTATTTTTGTTAATATTCACTGTAAACATTTACAGAACGCGTGTACGTTTTATATACGATTCCCGCAATTACCACAAAAAAGGTTAGGGGAAATTTTACTACTGCTGCGTATTGAAGGAAACGATCAAAACTGCAGGTTTGAAAAATAAAACATAACGATTTCATGGACATTTCATATCTGCCAACAAACCTTGGGACAGAACAATCGACACCATCTTACTGCTAATGCCTCTTGGAAATTAAAGGAGGACCCGTGCCCAGCATAACGTATATACAGATAAGTTATTACTTTAAAAATTTTGATTAATCAGTTTTTTTGATAATAATAGGTCTTGATCTTTTACCTATGAAATTTCCGTTTTGCAGTACTGGCCATTTCAAATCAAAAGAATTTTTGTTTGGCTAAGAATTCTAATTTCAAATGAATTTTATTTTGAAAACATGGAAATCTTTTTTTAATTTGTCATTTGCTTATTGATAAGAGTTACGAGTATGTTTTAATCGCATTTAAATCTTTTTCGTCATCGTGAATACGTTAAAAATTTGGATAAAAATGGAATATGAGTAATGTCGTGGCAGCAACACGGCACAAGCGGCACGCAACATCAACAACGTTTGCGAAAGGAATTCTACAAACGAACGCGCCACCACCAGTTTATTGGTTTGCCCACTTCTGTTCTGAAAATTTCAACCTGAAAAATGAACACCGTGGTCGTTCGAAAACTTTGGTCGACAATGACGAATTAAAGGCGATTGTGGAAGCTGTGGATGATACTCATCTACGGCTAAATTAGCAGCAGCTTTCGACGTTATCACCAAAACAATATTGGTCTATTTACGTCAAATTGGCAACGTAAAAAGTTTGAGAAATAGGTGCCCCACGAACTCAATGACCGCCAGCGCGAAGTACGCGTAGAGACGTGCCTTGCACTATTTAACGAGCACATAAACGAAGAAATTTTGAACCGCGTTGTTACCTGCGACGAAAAATGGATTCTGTATGACAATCGCAAGCACTCAGCAAGTTGGTTGGATACTGGTTCAGCACCTAAACTGTGCCCTAAACTAAAACTTGCTTACTAAAACCCTAGAAAAGTGATAGTCAATGTTTAGTGGACTAGCGCCGGTGTGATTCATCACAGATTCCTACCAAATGGGATGAGCATTACCGCAGATGTGTACTGCGAATAACTGAACACAATGACGGAGATGCTCGCACGTCTCTAACCAGCTTTGGTCAATCGCTTGTCCCCGCTGCTCCTGCATGACAACGCGCGACTTCAAACTATACAACAGACAGTCTTCGAGTTACAAGAGCTGGGGTTGCAAGCTCTACATCATCCGTCGTACTCACCAGATCTTGCGTCTACAAACTTCTACTTTTTCCAGAATTTGGATAACTTTACGGCGAGAAAAAAATTCAATACCCGAGTGATAGTACAAAATGCCTTTGAAGAATGTGTTGAATCCCGTCCAGCTGATTTCTTCAAGAATGGCATCAATAAACTGCCACTGCGTTGGCAAAAATGCATCGATTAAAAGGGTTGTTCAGTTCTTCACAGTACACATCTGCAGTAATGTTTATCTCGATTGGTAAGAAGCTGTGATGAATCACACCGGCAGTAGACCACCATATAGTGATCATCACCTTTCTAGGGGTAAATTTTCGTTTGTGGGCCTGTTGAGCAGTACAAGGCACGTCTCGACGCGTACTTCGCGTTGGTGATTGTTGAGTTCGTGGGGTAACCATTTTTAAAGCTTTTTTGCCTTACCAATTTGACGCAAATGGACCAATATTATTTTGACGCTAATCTCGGCAGCTGCTGCTAATTCAGCCTTAGATTGAGTATCATTAGATTCCACAATCACCTTTAATTGTCAAGAGTTGAAAAAATCGAACACAGTGCGGTGATTAAATTCCTCACTAAACAAGGAAAATCTCCAAAAACATCAATGAGGAAATAATGGCCGTTTACCAAACCTCTGTTCCTTCAATTTCAACCATACAGAAGTGGTCAAGTGAATTCAAAAGTTTATCTATATGTTTCGTTTTTTGACGGTTTTATTTTTATTTCTGTTTAATTTTTGTCTAAAGAACTTAATGTAAGTTATATTTTGAATATTGGTACCTAATATATTTTATATTCAATAAGGGTGAAATGAAAAGAGTACAAAAGAAACCAAATCTGCGTAATTTAATCTGAATTTCTGATTCATAAAATATTTTGAAATTCTGTTTTCAAACCGATTGCTTCTGGAGCATAGAGTTTTTATTGTGGTAGCCCCTCATTATAGTTGTATCAAGGATGCAATATAAATGCATCGATCGAGCATCGATTGACAGAAAGGGAGCTAATTCTAATTTTATTAAAAAAACGCGGTACTCATGTACAATACAGAAATACTCGATATCGTAGGATTAATTTTAAAATATAAAAGGACCCAATACTAATACAAGTCGACCTTTAGGTAAAATTATGGTATTTTCGATACTATATACTACAAACTATGAAATAGTGGTACAATTAGGATAATTATACTACGAAATCCGACCCTGGTCACGTCGTGTTTTGTTACTTTCGTCGTGTTACTTTTTCTAGTATGAAAAAGTAATGAGTAAAACATTTAGATGGGCCTATCCTTCCTTTTGAAATCATTGGCTGTAAATGAGCATTTTCAGGCCAAGACGAAGAATATTTTTTTAAGGGAATAGAAAAGTTTTGTCACAAACAAGTAACTGTATTGATTTCATGTGATACTATATTGAAAAATAAACAATATTTCATAATTTTATCTTTTTTATACCCATATCGAGAATACATTGAACACCCCTTGTACCGTATAATTAATTGTCAGCTTTTCTGTTATAAATTTATTTAATCTGGTATTATTCTTTTTATGTAATTTTTTTCCCATATCAATTTTTTAAAATAATATTTATTTGTATAACATACAATATTTTTATGTTGTAACCCTAAATTAATTAAGCTTAGTTAATTAACACCATGATTTATTATCATTAGTTACGATGATTACTGCTATGTTTTCCAAAAGCTTTGTAATTATTAGACGCCATTTTGTTGTATTATTTTAAAATGAAAATATTCTTATTATTGTTTAATTACACGCGCCGTGTAGCGCCATCGTTAGAAAACTCACTACCCCATAACACCCCGTGGATATCGTATAAAGCGAAAGAGGGAAGTGAAACTGGAGATGGACGGCAGCATTTTCCTGATTGATAACTACTCAATAAAAACAAACTGCCAAGTCATCTGCCAAGCGAGCACGGAAATGACACCAATGTGAAATTACTTTGCGAAAAGGACCTTAGAACCTTGTCCAGTTAATAAGCAATATTTTCTAATCAGTTTATAAATCAAACACAAAAATGAAGTTACAACCTCACACTGCTGGGCTTAGGTTTTCTCAATTCTGAGAGGTTTATGGAGTAGTTAGACTGCCATGTATTCCCATTAGAGGAATTTACATGTTCCAAAAATATTTATAATTTCACACATGTAAAATTTCCACAGGATTAACTCGCAGTTGGTAAATAAGCACTTTATATTAAAACCATTTCTGCAGTTTGGATCGAACTACAGTACTCTTGTAACTTAAACAGAACTCGATTCCTATTTATTAATATTATTTAACGAATTATACATTTTTTTCGAATTAATTGACGTTAATACTGGATTTTGAAAGTAAATTTTAATAATCGTATAATAACCACTATTGCTATACATTATTCTATTGTAAATAGTAGAAAAAACTTACATTATAAAGGATAAGAATAGAGAAGAACTGAATGAGCGAGTACAGAGCCATATATTTGAAGATTGCAAAGGAAGTACTAAGAGCGCATCGCCCTTCTAAGGCAAGGAGTTTCACGCATCTTATATTCTGCTCTTGAGAGGTGAACGGAGCTGCCACTACAACAATAATGTCATGATGATTAATAAGCTGACTACGAAAATAAAGTTTATTTTATTGTGAAAAATCAATATTATTACTATTTCAGAATATAATAATAATCATCATCATATAGCACAGCACAACTCCACAGTTAAACGTTGGCTACCAATGAATTAATAATACAAAAAAAAATACAAAAAAATGAAACCCAATGAATGCCATAAAACACAGTTCTGAGCTACCTGGATTCATCGACTTCCTACCTCTTTTACCAGGTCGCAACTACATCTAATACTTCAGTTCGAGATTGCCACTCGAGAAGCTTTCTGCCCCGAAGTTATGTATACAGTTAGTGTTGCCAGGTCCAGGTCTAATTTCGGGACGGAAGGTAAAAATAATCGGGAATTTGGTTTTCACACCGGGACAGCTACAATTGCTACAAAACACAAGTTTTTTTGTAACCTTTTTGTGCTTTATAATTTTTATTCGGGTCTAATCTCATGAACGAATAATTTTTATGTTTTTTCACTTTAGGCAAATCAAAAAATTTTTGAACTATTTGTTGTTGTTTTGCAGTCTCTGAATTTTTAAATCACTCATTTTAATATATAATTCTGTTTAAAACTTTTGTGGTTTTTTTTGACTGGTGAGAAAATGTCATAATAAAAATATTTAATGCAGTCAGCTAAAAGATGAAATCATTTTTGCTGTCAAAATTATGGATTAATAAAGTACAGACTAAGAAGGTTAGTGAAAAATCACCATGTCAATGTCATCAAACCCTTGAAAATCGGGACGTCCCGCGCATATCGGGATACTTGACAACACTATATACAGCCTTTCCATTCCCAGTTGCCACTACAGCTTACTGATTGTTGGACTATGTCGGTTACTCCTGTTTTGCTGCGGATGTCTTCATTAAAATTTTTATTGTGCATAGAAACACTGAGCCCTTTTTATGGCTTTCTGAGGAAACTTATTGTAAACAGACGTAATATGGAAATTATATAAAATATAAACATACCTGATGCGTCTGCTTCAGAAAGTGAAATGCCAACATGAGCAGCCTTTAATGCCCCACAATCGTTAGCTCCATCGCCACACATTCCTACAATTAAGCCTTCGCCTTGCAAAGCAGTGATGAGCTGAGTCTTCTGGTCTGGTCCAAATCGACCGAATATCATACCTGTAAAAAGTAATTGAATGTTTACGTCGCAGTATATTGTGAATGTATTTCTGCTTAGCGACAGAATAGAAAACAGAGGTATCTCCTCAGGCAGACTTTACGTAGTACAGCCATGCCGCAGTTGTATTATTATTTATTACTATGGTGGTAGCACGAATGGATCGGTTTGACCGGGGAAAGACCTCACTCTCACAGAATACCAGCGTAAAATAGTAGCTTAATGCTGCTGTGTTTCGTATGGTGAGTGTAGAGAACCAGAGACTCTTTTTACTGGAAACGAGGCGATCCATCTAAGTCCTCACGAGTGACAACGCATCTATATTTTGATTTGTAATCGAGGATAGATGTAGATGTCTATGGGCCACAGCAATCACTTACCATCAGGTGGACTGTGTACTCGTTTGTCATCCTATCCTATAAAAAAAATCTCAAAAAAGTTAATATTAGATTAGTTGTAAACAACATTGCCTTTAATAATAAAGCCCTACCTTTAGTTAGTTAACATAGCTTATACTGGCATATAAACTAATAGTAGCTCATTAACGCAGTTATTTAAATTAATGAAATAGAACTTTATTAGATAAGGCATTCGGATTCGGGACTCTATGCTACTTATTTTAGTTACAATATACAAATATCGTATTTACCTTTGCTTAAGACTGTTGGCATCATTTCAGGATAGTGTGTCCGTATGACAGCCCACGTTTTACCTTCTAAAGCCAAAACATATGCATCCATTGACAGTAATGGTGGGCCTCCCTCACCAACGACCTGTGAATATGTTATGGTAATAAACTACCCATAAGACTTTAAAAGTACCGAGCAACTATTTTAAATCTTAAGACATAAAAACAAATAAGTTGGATATAACAACAAATTCATTTGTAATATACTGTTACGAGGTTGAGGTTCGTGATAATGAAAACTGCCGCTTGAATTACCAGAATTAACACTTTTATTATCGAACACAAATTAAAACTTAAAAGTCATTAATAATTAATCACACTGATTCACTTTATTTCGCTCCGAAGCTTTGCTTGTCTCGCCAAATTCAATACTGCCCCGATCGCTTTTTTTTTGCGCCCGAAGCAAATAGGGCAACCCTCCGGAAAGCGGCGGAGGGAGGTGGTGAATCTTCGCTCATAGCATACCACGCAGCCGGCTGCGTGGTTATGTAGAGACTTATACCCACTAAACCCCACCTTTTAAGGACTGGCTTAACGGTCTAACTAGAGATCTCTAAGCCGTATACGGACGCGACCCTCCTTGGCAGAAAGGAGGGCGCAGCCCCGATCGCGGCATGCACCGGGTTTAAATACACCTTTTACACCGAAACATCTCGAATATTCGCGTAGATACGGGCGGCGACCGACCAGACGCAGAAAGTTCAAGTGTGGGCTTCTAGAAAGCTTAATTCTTCTGTAAGATACTAGATGGCGCTGTTGGTCGAAAGTCAAGATTGACATTTTCTAGGAAGCCCTCCTCGCTCTGGTACCCGACACTAGATGGCGCTAGTGCCAGGTACCTGACGTGAACTTAGGCGCGCAACAATACTTAAGGAATATTTCGTTAGACTTTTGTGTAAGCTGCTAAATTCACTTTGTCACTCAAATAATATTGCATAAAGTAACTACAAAAAAATTGGCGAGTTAAGAGTTTGGGAGAGTAATATTTTTTTTTCATGTTAATTTATGTATAATGTAAAATTAATTTATGTATGTGTAGGTTTATGTATAAACGTATGTACATGTGTATCATATTTTTTAACGTATTAGTTATTTATATGTTATTTTATTGCATGTATAGATATTATATTAGGTATATTTATATTACACCACCTACCTAGTATTCACTGTTTTATTCCTTTACACCTTTGGTTGCCTGTATTATAGAATAAGAGATCGCTATGTAGCGATAAGGCCGCCAAATTGTACATGTAATCTGCTCTTTATATTCTTTGTAAATTTGTTTGTGTTGTACAATAAAGTATATTCATTCATTCATATCTATTCATTCATAAAATTATGCAACAAAAGTTACCTCCATGCTGAGTGGCGGTCGAGAGTCGTTCGTTTGCTGCTGGCCAACAGTAACCAATACAAGTTTCTGATGTGGTTGCACCATATTGCATCCTCTCGCCACCGACATAGCGGTCATTATGTTGTCTCCTGCAAATAAAACTTTAGTTAAATATAATAATAACAAACGGTAAAGGTATTTTGAATAAATTTGTGTTTTTGTTTGCACAGCCTTCAGTGCGAGACTGATATGTATACAAGTGGTATAATTAAAAATGTTGTACAACCGACTTCAATATACATAAAATGAGTACTTCATCATGTATTCGAAGCACATATATTAAATACGCCTTATTAAGGATAACTCAAAAACTACTAGGTCAGATCTTGATCAAATTTATATGGGACCACATGAGAAGCACCAGCTTTTAAATAAAAAAAATCATCAAAATCGGTTCACTTAGACAAATAATTTCTGATGTAACACACATAAAAAACAGTCGAATTGAGAACCTCCTTCTTTTTTTGAAGTAGGTTGAAAACTCAAAATTGTGTGTGTCCGCTAGATTCGACAAAGGCGTTCATCGGTTTAAATAGAATTAACTTTTTATGTGTTTATGAAATAAACTTAAACATGGATACCAATCTACATCACATCATATCAACCACCATTTCTAGACCACTGCTAAACAATAGCTATTGTTAGGTTCGCGCCAGTCATCACGCTGTGCTAGCGTAGCGCAAATAGTTACCTTCGCTGTTACTCAACACTAGTTTGTGATTATGATAACGAATTATGGTGGGAAAACCACCCAAAACAATAAATTGTAATGATTAATGTTAAAGACCAGTATCCACATTCACAATTCCACCTGTATGGTAAGGTGAGTTCATATTATATTAATTTCATAATTTAACATTAAGTCATTGAAGTAATATGTACTTATGTACTAGAACAGCTATCTCAAACAAAAAATGTGCGCTACTCTGTGTTCGCGCGGTTGTTTTTTTATCATAGAATAAACATAGGTAGAATGAGCCGTAGGTAATAGTAGATTGTATTGTTAAATAGGTAAATTATATCGAGAACCATATTTAAATTTTGTCATTTATTTTGTATATTATATTTGCTTATTTAATATAATATTACATAATATTATATCACAATTACATTTTAATAATATTTTTATCTGAATATTTTAAAAGGTATCTATGTCAAATATAAAAAAACATACTAAATGTATGTTTAACATAACTTATTAACATAACATTTAAATTACAGAGTCGAGAAGAGTCGTTCATAAATGCTGGGCACGCGAGAGTTAAAAATGGACGAATTTATTCCACCTTGACCTTGATGTGGAAACCTAAAAATAAAAAAACAATAATACGCAGATTCAAACATGAAAAATTTTGCCAAATTAATAATAATAAGTAAATAATAACTTATATATGTTTCTACAAAAAAAAATGTATACAATAATATATTCGTCCTATACTTAAGTACCCACAGAAATGTCGCATCTGAACATATTAATTTCATAATCTATATTCAATGACCCGAGATGGCGTCTTAGGAATAATTTGTTTTATTTTTTGTTTTGATTAAGTATCTTATTAATCGATGAAAAGTAATTCCTTGGTTTTTACTGACATTTCTTGAATTATTTGTGCAATATCTAAGTACACACGACGGCATATTTTTATCAAGAGATTTTTTTTAAAATCAACACAACACGTGACGACTCTATAAGCGCCTAGCAAGTGACTGATTAAAGTGCGGTGTATGCACCGCAGTTGAGTGGAACAGAGTAGCTGAATGCAGTGTCGCCTCTAGTACGTAGTACATAATAGCTCAATGCATTAAGTTATAAAATTTCTAATCTATGATTAAAAAATAAATGTTTTAAACTTAAAACATAATCATATTATATTACCATGGCATCCATCATAGATAAGTTAATTGCAGATTTTTATAAAAAAAAATAAACACAAAAATAAATTAATTACAATATAACAACCATGTATGCCTACAATTTATGTCATGATTGAAAAAAGACAACATGATAGTTAATTTTGGGATTCTTTAAGGATTTTTAATCAAAAATAATAGTTTTGCTACATCTTTTAAAAAAGTATGCCAGCTAAGGTATTCTTTAATAGGTCTATTAGGTCCTTAAAATTTTCAGCAGTATGAAGAAAATGGTGAAAGAAAATATTCTGAATGTCTGTGTGTAGCCACTTTGATCAATGTGTAATATCTATATATGACTGCCTCGTTGGTCTAGTGGTTGTAGTAGTGCGACTGCTGATCATGAGGTCCTGGGTTCGAATCCCGGGTCGGGCCAAAAAATTAATTATTGAGTTTTTCCGTCAAGAAATTCTCAATAGTTGCCCGGAGTCAGGAAGTTGGCGGTGTCTCACCCCCGTGCCTCGGAAAGCACGTAAAGCCGTTGGTCCTATGCCTGATCTCTCTCCGATCTTGTCAGTTTACCGTCCCATCGGATTATGAGAGTGAGGGAATAGAGTGCACCTGTGCTTGCGCATACACTTGGGCACTATAATCCTGTCCTGCGCCGATGGCTAGTCTCCGTTGAGGCAGGCCGCCGTGGCCGAAATTCGGTCTGGAGGACATTATTATTAACAACTTCCCTGTCCGCGAAATAGACACAATAGTTAAACAATCGAAATGTTCATATATGACTCATGGGACAGTGAAATGGTTAATTATAATATCTATATAGTTACACACCGTCAAGTTGTAATGATCAAACACGAAAATAAAATTTAAATAATAAGCAACCATTTATTAGTACCTGTCACCATGATCTGTCTCATGTGAGCATCATGGAGCTCCTTGATTACTTGTGAAGTTTCAGGTTTGAGGCTATTTTGCATGACTAGAAAACCCAAAAACACCATGTCGCATTCAAGGCTCTCTCTTTTGATCCTCTGTGCGTCAACCCATTTCATTTTACGATCGAGCTTCTTATGTGCGAGGCCGATCACACGGAAACCATTTGAAGTGTATTCGTGGAGGACTGTGCTGAAGTTTTCTGGAAGTGTTGCCGGATCACACATGCCCGCAACCTAAACAAACAAATTTGTGTTTAAAAAGTTTGTGACACTAGCATAATATGTACAATATTAATAAAAATACAAAATTTTACTTTCTCGAGGTTGCCTGTTTCCAGTAAAAAGGGTCTCCAGTTCTCTACACTCACCATACGAAGTACAGCAGCATTGCTACTATTTCACGCTGGTATTCTGTGAGAGTGTGGTCCTTCCCTGGTCGAGCCGACCCATTTGTGCTACAACTATACTACTAAATATAACTGCAGCATGGCTCTACCACGTATAAAATATTATACATCACAGGTGATGCCTTCCGGTAGTAAAGTATCAACTGTGAGTGTTGCCAAAAATCAGTCTACCTTACCTTTTCCGGTGCTCCTTTAACGAAATAGACCATCTGTGGCTGCCCAAGTACCCTTGCAATAACACCCATTGATTGCTGTGATGAAGAGAAATGGAATCTACGCAGCAAACCAATCTATATGTAAAAGAAAAAAAACATTGGAATGGTATTACGTAATGGGTTTGCATTTTAAATCTAGGAACAAAAATTCTGTTAATTAAAGTAAGTTATAATATAATGACAAATGATTGGCGCAATTGGATGGTTAAATGATCATTAAGGAAATTAAAGTCAATGTCAATAATAAGTTTATCCATTCACCTCATAGGGCATTTCCATAGTAAGAGAATCATAATTATCCAAGTTCTGTAGATTTTCACTGTGTGCTGTAGACGGCTTTACTATGGCTGGTGTGAGGTTGTCATAACGTGTGTTTTCTGGACCAGGTTCCTCGAGGATCTGAATAATGATTTTTTCCATGTTATAATTTCATGACGATCGTATTAAAATGATGGAAGGAAGTTCATCACCTGAATCTAAGAATGTTAAGAAAACATGTATCCCATTCGACATAATATTATGAATCTCATCATACATACCAAGAATTAAAGTATAAAGCAGAGTCTAACTTGTGTTGAATCAAGTTGAAATATTGTACAATATTACAGCGACTAATGAACTAATTGTATATCTGATTTCTTTTATTTTGCAGTAATGGTGAACAAGCAAGCATACAGTCCACCTGATGGTAAGTGGAAGCTATAGTCCATAGACACCTACTCGTTAAGATGATGATAGATGCGTAAGCACCCCTGAGATAAAGACTTGAGTAAAAGGTATCTCGGGTTCTCAACACTGACTAAATGACATACAACAGCATCAAGCTGTTATTGCGTGACATCATGGTTCTTACCTAGGTTGAGCCGACCCATAAGTATTGCTATCACAATATAGCAGCAATGAGGGTTTACTATATTCTACATACTTAATATCCAATACTCGTAAACAATAAAACTTAAAAAATCAATATGTTATTGCAAAAATTTTGGTTAAACAGTTAAGAGCGCATATTCAAATATGTCCAAGTCGAAATCTACGCGATCGCTTTGGAACGGCGTAATATTGACGCACACTACAATGTTATCTCTGTGTGCGTGTCAGTGCGAGCGTGAGGCTATAATAGTTGCCTAACGACGACTACGAATCACTTTGATCTTTGATTATATACCTGTCTTTAATACTATTGGAACTAAAATAATAAAAAAATAATTTCCATATAATGGCTTATATATTGTATAGAAATCGAAGGCTAATATGTGGAAATTGTTTTATTCTTCTAGTAAATTGAAGTCGGCTTTACATTTTCACCCTATTGAGTATATTATAATATGTATATGTTCTAATTGAAAAATATGTATTGTATAAAATATATATCAATTGATAAACTTTTATTCTGTTTCATAATATAAACATAACTCATCAAAGTAACAATTTCATTAATGTTGGCGGGGATTAGTGTTGCCAGGTCTAGTAAGTAAAATTTCGGGACGGAAGTTAAAAATAATCGGGGATTTGGTTTTCATATCCGGACAACTACAATGACTACAAAATATAGGTTTCTTTGTAGCCTTTTTTGTGCTTTATTGAGAGCCGTGGTAGCTCAGATGGTCAACGCTCACTGTAAATATCAAAGTATGCGAGTAATGCGAGAAATTGTGACTGTAACTTTCCTTTACTTTTGTGCTTTATAATTATTATTCGGGTCTGATCTCATAAACGAATAACTTTGCATCCAAAACATCGTAAAAACTGAATTTTTTTCATTTTAGGCAAATTAAAACATTTTTGAACTATTTGTTTTTTTTTGCAGTCCCTGAATTTTTCAAATCACTCATTTTAATATAATTCTGTTTAAAACTTTTGTGTCTTTTTTCCGACTGGTGAGACAATGTCGTAGTAAAAATATTTTAATGTGGTAGTAGCTAACAGATGTAATCATTTTTGCTTGCTCAAAATTATGGATTAAAGTAAAGAATAAGAAGGCTAGTGAAAATCGGGACATTTGGCGTCCCGATCAAGGGTGAATCGGGACGTGTCACTAGACCCTTGAAAATCGGTACGTCCCGCGCAAATCGGTACACCTGGCAACACTAGCGGGGATCGAGCCCGGATTGTTCGCGTTTACGGCGAGCACTACGCTCTTGAGTTACTCAACTCAAGCACCGCTCATATGTTTTATATCTGGGGGCACGGTAGTGTCCCCGCCAAGTCGAGCAAAATAGCGGCATGGCCGTATCATCATTGCGAGACTTGGTTATTTTACAAGTTATGTTTTTGATGGCATGTCTTTGTTTAATCATAACGTTATTTCCACACTAGGAATTTTTCCTAAGTACATCGTGGGGGCAGTTTAAATACATTAATTTCACAAGGACAAACATCCAGACCTGGAACAATTATTTGTAGGTAATACAAATTTTTACTCAATGTGGGATTCGAACCCGCGGCACTCAGCGCTACAACTCATTACCAAGTCACTCCGCCACGGAGCCAAAGGTGAAAGCCGATTTTGTATTTTTACTTGATCCGAATTGCTTACGTTCATTACTCATTTCTAAAAAAATATGTATGAAATGAAAATTTGCCACCATTACATCATTTATCATTTAAATATTACAATCATAAACATATTTCAAAATTACTTACTACCAAAAATATCGCTTATAAAAGTCTCAATCGTTTAAAATGTTCGATGGTGCTATAGGTAGTTAGTTATAGTATAGTGTAGTATAGTCCTATCGGTGTATCAACGCGATCGCGCGGTGTCGGTGAGAAAAAGTAATACATCCGGTCGTTGCGATTACCCGGAGCGTACTGAATCGAACGGCGTCTGCGCATGATGTTTTATAGTATTTTTAAAATAATTATATAAAATAATTGACAAAATGAAACAAGCTAAATTTTTTTTTTTGGATATTTAACATTACACGTATTTTGATAAAATAATTAAAATAGATATTTTTATAACCAAATACACGGAAAAAAATTACATTGAAGTAGACAGTTTTGGTGATTTTATAATATTATTTTATAATATTAAATCGAAATATTTTCATAATTTAGATTTTGCTATACACTAAAAGACTATATATTCCATTATAATAACGCTTAAAATAAAGTATTTTAGCTTATAATAATGGTTGTATGATGCATATTTTCGTAAAACGCTGTGAAGGGATTGTCTTCGCCCTAAAAAACAGTCATTAAAAACTATGATTTTGCACTGCTATGTACTAAATAAAGACTTCATCTTTCTAAAGCCCTAATTTTCAGCAAATAATCTCCTCACTTCGTTAGGATATCGCCTTTGGAAAAACCATAAAACATGGAGTTTTCGACGCGAAACGCATATGACCTCTTAACTAAAATTCGAGAAAACATTAACTAGGTGACAGTGTAAAACATTTATCCTATTAAACACAATTAACTGTAAAGATCATGTTTCATGAATATATATATATAACTTATAATTTTTGCGTTGTAATAGATGATTGAATGATTTTGATAATTATTTGGAACTTACCCATTGAGTGAATTCAAACATTTTCAAGTCCAATGGATCGCCTTTCAACTGTCCTTGTATGCTCGTAAGCGAATGGCAAGAAGCGAGCGCTTGCACTAGTGGACTCGATACAGACAGCGCCGCTATTTCTACTACACATCGACCGAACTTTTCGCCGATATATGAAGGTATCACGGCATAGAGGTCCAAGCCGTCTTCTGTAAGAGTACCCGTCTGCAAATAATGGACCATCAAATATGAACACTTAAAGATTTCAACATTTTATTATTTGTTTAAAATACATTGTTTTATACCTGGATAACTTTATTTATAATATATTTTGGAAAATAATTAACTATAGTCAACCAAACCTAAGAAATACATTTTGACAGCTGTCAGACATATTACACCAAGCATGCCAACCAAAAATTGGGAACGCACAATATTCGATTCTTAAAAAAAATCGATATCGATTATTTGAAGTTGGTAATCATTTACTGTTTGGTTTTAATAATACCAAAATTAAAAAATATATAAACAAATAATGATTTATGATAAAAACAGATTAAATCATAAATCATTATTTGTGGTTACTGCTTATTTCTAGAGGCACAGTTATAAAAATTTAAGATTGAAACTAGATTAAAAATAAATTTATTCAATCACTTTCAGTACAACTAGTTGAGCTGTCGTTGTTTAGAGTAATTATTATACGATTTTCAATAATGCAGTCAAAATTAATACCTTTTTCAAAGTCATCCATAATCAATATTTTCGGTTTTTTTTAACCACTTTTGCCCAATCATCCTCATCCTCACAACGAACGACGGTACATGCTTCAACGAAAATAGAAAAAACAACTCAAAAAGTTAAACCGAGTCACAAAATAAGAAGACAAACACAAAATCACAAAATTACTCACAGTAAGCTCTCGAAATGGCGGGTGATTGAAATTACGTAGTGGTTTTTTCAGCGGGGCCACTATATATGAGTATATGAGTTTTTTTTGTTTACACAAATTAAACGTAAATTTTTAACAAAGTAAAAAAAAATAACTAAACAAATAATACATTAAAAAAATTAATGATTTGATTACTTGAATGTTTTAACCGATTATATGAATACTTTCGCCGATTATTCGCATAACAAAGAATTTTAATCATCAAAACACTACGGTAAGTTACATAGCGACATATCATTGAAACGACGTCAATTAAAAAAGTTGATACTGGTTATTTTTTTTAATATTTTTGCTTTGTTTGAAAGATTAGAATTTAAATTAATGATAAAAAACTATACACGTTGTAATGAAATATAGATATATTCATAATTCTTCGGATTTAGGTAAAAGGTTATTTTAAATCCTGTGAGTCGCTTGTACAAAGTTATTGCTGAATGATTAATGTGAAACGTTAAAAGGTATTTCTTAAAATTTGGTTGACTATAGTAGAGTTCATTATATGGCACAAGCGTCTTAATTGTGAAAGGTGATATACTCATAGTACTATTATTTGATTCATTGTGGATAAAGTCAAAGCAAGATAAGTATCTATAAAAAAGTATATATTTAGAAAAAAAGTAAAAAAATATTTCTTTAAGACCACGTTTTCCATGTTTATGCAGACCAGTTATTTTATTTATTTTATTGAATATTTTGCGGGACAAAGAAGTTACACAGTAATAGTGTGAAAAGACTGCTGAATAAAACAATAATTACGACATAGATATATAATAATCATAAGGAATAAGCATTATAGAAAACATAATTTGTTTACCTTATCGAAGCACATAACCTGCAGCTTGCCGCAGATGATGATGCGCGGCGGCGAGACGCAGAATATCTTGTTCCTGCGCAGCCGCTGCTGACTGTACACGATGCCGGCGGTCATCGCGGCCGGCAGCGCGGGCGGCACCACGATCGTTATGATGTCAAGTGTACGCAGCACTATTGTACCAGGTGAGCTCTGTAAACAACACGCTATTCTTTTGCTACAAGTCTAAAAAAGTTATTGCAGAAGACATAACAGAAACAGAAACTTTTTTATTCAATGTAGATTATAAACAATACTTATTGAAAGTCAATTTTTTCATTTACCACTGTTCGCAAAAAAAACCTATGTCCTGGGAAAAACCAGCAAGAGACCCAGCGGGACTATTTTTTTCTTTTCAAATAATAGCTTACAATCATGTTTACAATTAACAACACACGACAAATTAGAAATAGCTTGGTAGCGATCAACCCTTCTCAGGGGTTATTATCATCCATAAATTCCTTAATATTATAATAACCCTTTTTATACAAACTTAGTTTAATAAAATTTTTGAACTTTGCGTATGACAAATTTTGTATATTTTCTGAGATTTTGTTGTAAGAGCGTATACATCACCCCAAGAATGAATTACTGACTCGGTGGAGTCGAGTTTTTATATATCTATGTATCAGCAAAATGCATATTTAAATAAAAATTTTAGTTCATAATAATAACTAGGGATGGGCCGAATATGGATTTCACAGAATACGAATATTCGGCCGAAAGTTCGGTAAAACTTTTACCGAACCGAATATTCGGCCGAACATTATTCGGCAGGATAACCTCGAGACCCAACCAATTCATGTCGAAACTTGTTGGATTAGCGCTGGACCCTGCCTCTCACTCCCCGCTACACCTGACAGTTATTGCATCATCTAGTACTGAGCAAATTGCCGGCACATTTTATCCTTAGTGAAAATCGATAATTATATGATTTACTGACATTTACTATTTGGACATATTTTAGAGAAACTGACGACCAAAGTATAGAGAAATGTACGTTTAGTGCAATGTAATGTTTCTTTGTTTGATTCCAAAAACATTTTATCAAGTTTCTATTTGCTATAATCGGAAATAAATCTACAGTGCCTCAAAAACATAAAGTATAGATTTATGCATTTGAGGTACTCTAAAGTAAGTAAATTTAGCCCATAAAAATATAGTTTCAACAGTAAAAGACATCGCATAACTCAATTCGTACATTACAATACATTGGACGCTATGAAAACGAATGTTCGGTGATTTAGCCGAATATTCGGCCGAATACGAATATTCGGTAAAGCTGCCGAATATGCCGAATACCGAATATAAAACGAATATTCGGCCCATCTCTAATAATAACACTATTGTAATAATGATTTCTTAAATTTACGCGAACACTACACATTAAATAAAACTATTATTTACGGATTTTATCGCGTTTAATTACTATTTTAACTTATTTTTATTATACCGACGTTTAATACTATTCTAATAATTCACCCATTACCCGTTAATAATTTCTTTCATTGAATTTAATAAGCACAAGAACACATTAGTAATATTGTTGTACTAGATAAGGTCGGTAGGATAAGGGCTAAAAAGTTATTTTAAATTGCACCTTCATAATTAGTTACATAGATAGATTTTCAAATTTTAGTCTTTGTCATCAACTTTTGCAATGAAAACAATTAGTTAAAATAAATGAGTCATGATATTTATATTACATACAGTAGCTAACTAACAAGTTAATTATTAAAATCACTTACTCCTCGCAAAATGTACAGCCACACCGAGTATGCCATTCCCATAGCAGCAATGCAGAACATGAATATGACGAATTTGACCGCATCCTTGTAGAACTCAAAAACAAATCGTTTTGGGAACAAAATACTCTTGATAAGTTCACCCTTTGCAGTGTAGAAGCCTGTGCGCACAACCTTCGCAAGCACCTGTAACATACACTTAATTAAAATAATGCTAATATTTACAGTATGTGCCAAATCGATTGAGAAAAACGGACAATGACCTTTCGGTCGTTTAACCAGGGCTTATAAATCTTCAACATATCGGCAAATTTTATATGTAGTACTTTCTCTATTTATGATTTTTTTTATAATGATTGATATATATTTATTAACTATTATTAAAAAGTTATGTAAAAGATCGCTATAGAAGAAAAATCATCTATTGTTAAGTACTTTATTCATTTAAAAACAAAAAGCATTAATTTATAACACATATAAAAAAACGAGTGATAACGACACCGAATAAGTACGTACTTATACAAAAGATAAAACTTTATTTTCAATATTATACAAGAACTTTATTTTTATTCAGTGCATGCGGGCCGGCCCAAAAAAAGTGACGCATCTCTGGCTGCCATTGTCACGTTTCTTTTAGAACAAACTGACGTAACGCGCGTTTTGTTTATTTTAAAGGGATGAATTTGCAAAAGCTCAATATGGTGATTATATTGCTTCATATATTTTTTTAATATAAAACTGTTATTAAATGAATGTAAAATATAACACATTTTTCGAGATGTACCGTAAGCTTTTACGATATTTATAGGTATCACAGACAATACTATTTAAGAAACAAAAAACAAATGTGCTGACCTAGAAGTGTGAATAATATCAATATTCAAATATTGTTATCACATCTAAATTGAGATTTTGTAAGTTACGCCTTTTGACACTCGGCTCATATCTGAGGTCATTGTCCGTTTTTCTCAATCGATTTGGCACATACTATAGAAGAGAAGAGCCCAGCCATGATTAGACGCAAGAATACGTAACGTAAGGGATTCACATTATGTTTTCAACAATTTACTTACCTGATTATTACCATAAAATCTTGTTTGTATGACATGTGTTCCTGCAAATAATGTATGCCTTTTGTGGGTCTCCGTCGAATATACTTCGGGAGAGACGCAAGGTGGTCCTTTCATCACTGGCACACTTTCGCCTGAAATAAAAATACTTACTTACTTACTTACTTATCTTCACGCACAATCCCTAACGGGGTAGCCAGAGAGAACAGATCGCCAAGTGTCACGATCCTTACATACCTCTTTCGCTTCCTTCAGGTTCATTAACTTCTTCATACATGCACGTCTAGGTATCCGAGTACTCTTGACCCTCCCCTCTTCGAGCAATTTGCTCACATGGTCTTCGAAAGTTAGTCTCGGTCTACCTCGACACCTTTTAATATTTACTTTCGCTCTATATATTTTCTTCACCATTCGGTCTTCACTCATTCGTTCAACGTGCCCAAACCATTGGAGTACGCCCCTATCAATTTTTGTGATAAGGTCATCTTTCAATCCTGCCATATTGCGAATCTCTTCGTTTCGCTTTCGGTCGGCTAAGGTAACGCCACACATTTTACGAAGAGATCGCATCTCCACTGCATTCAACTTGCTTTTATGCTTCTTCTGGCATACCCAGGTTTCGCTGCCATATAACAAAGTCGGTACCAACACTGCATTATGTATTGCAAGGCGTGCACTCTTCACCACGCCTTGCCTTTTAACTAATGCATTCAGGGCACCATTGACTTTGTTTCCGGCAGCGACACGCCTATCCACATCTAAATCACATCTTCCATCCCGGCTGAAAGCACTCCCCAAGTATACATGAAATAAAAATACCTAATTAATATATGGCGAAAAAGCATTTAACGTGCAACACTAAAAGCCACTGCTAGTCAAAGAATTACCCTAAAATTTTCTATTACTTAATAAAGACGAATGAAGTAATTAACAATGTACTGGTATTATCATTGTAATTTTATTTAAAAATATTTAGAATGAGCTATTTTCCGATTTTTTTTAACATTTCCGAAAACTAGGATTATTATTTTAAAGTGAAATGGGCGCCAAACCAGATTTTTCACGCTTCGTAGTGTATGTGCGCAGAAAATCGATTTTTTTGTCATTAAAAACTACGAATTCACCTTTTTTAAATCATTATGAAAGTTAAAGATTTTCCTTAATGAAATACGATTGAAACATTTTGGCTCGATACAAAAGATCGCAAAGTTTCCTCGAAATCTACAAAAAGGAAAAAGCAGTTTGCTTCGAATGTAATTAAAGCAATTTCAATTATATTCTGTCTAAGTGTTTACCAGTAAATACATGGGGGAACTATGGGTTAATTTTCCAATAAAAGAGTATATTTCATTTTGAAAAGAAATATCAAATGAATATCGTACAATAAAAAAGCGCGCACGCCTGCCAAACAGGAGCATTTCGCCGCTCCTCACTCGTGACCACGACACTATTTCGCTTTAAGTGGTTTATCCTTAAGACTGATTTATAATACATTCATAATATGGAAAGTTAAAAAAGTTGTCTTGCTTACACTGTTTATATATTATAGGAGTAGAAGTCATATAAAAAAGTGTATAAGTATTTGGAAACATACGGTGATGATACTCAACAGTTGTTTAAAGTATTATAGAAATCCATAAGTAAACAAGTGATAAAATTAAAAATCTTGAACAACCGACTTCAACATAAATAAAATGCGAACATCATCAATGTAGATTACATTCAAATTCAACGTCTATTAAATACGTATTATTAAGGATAATTCAAAAACTACTAGGTCAGATCTTGATCAAATTTATATGGGACCACATGAGAAGCATCAGCTTTCAAATAAAAAAAGTATCATCAAAATCAGAAAAAAATTCTGAGGTAACACACGTAAAAAATATAGTCGAATTGAATACCTCCTCCATATTTTAAAGTCGGTCAAAAAGTCAATTTTTGTTGGTTTAAGAAAAGTTCTCGAGTAGCAACTTCGTACCGGTAAGCGAAGTGTAGGGCGGTGTTCCCCTAGATGGGATGGCGACCAGGTATGATATGCAAGAAGTCGATTGATGCAGGTGGCTCAAGACTGTGCTTTGTGGCATTCCTTGGGAAGGAATAATCAAGTTTTCCAAAATTTTTTTGTTTGGTTCTAGTTATAGTGAAATAATTTTTCAAATACTTATACTGTAACTTTTATTTTTAAAATTTTATTAGGTGGGTAATATATTTTTTTAACTTTTTATATGCCAGTAAAATAAAGTAGAGTTACAGCCTATATTACGTCCCACTGCTGGGCACAGGCCTCCCACTCATTTCTGAGAGGGGTTTAGGGCAAGGAATTGTCTGCCGCGCTGCCCCAATGCGTGTTAGGGAACTTCACATGTCTTCGAAATTCTTTTTTTCTCATTTGTGTGATGTTTTCCTTCACCGCCGAGCACGTGGTAAATCAGCACTTAAAATTGCAACTAACAATTTGATTGGTGCCGGTGGGGATCGAACCCGGTTTGCTCGCGTACTGTGAAATTTACAGCGAGCGCTAACCATCTGAGCTACCACGGCTCGGCACGGCAAGCAAGTGCTTAACCACAATCCCACGTGGTGGTAAGTGGTGACGCAGCCGTAGATGGTAAATCGCACTGTCTTTGCGTAACAAATGCCTATTCACTCTTGCTTTGAAGCCGTCCAGATTGTATTCGGACGGAAAGATAAACGCCGGCAAATTATTCCACTCCTTTGCTGTACGCATTAAAAATGTCGAAGTAAGCCGTTTGGTTCCAATGCGTGGAATATTGACAACAAAGGGGTGAAGACCCGTCGACCGACTGGTCGTACGATGGTGAAAAGGAGAGGGAGGAATTAAGGCCGAATACGACGTGAATGACCTTGCTCGTTTCGCAGCAAACCACGCGCCGCCAGTACCTACGCTTTGTTTATATAGACATGTATAATACCTATAATCAAAGCCGTACGGGCTTTGATTATATTTGACTGAACTAGCTCAGATGCAGAGTAATGAACAACACAAATTCTTAAATAATTTTTTCTTATTTATAATATTAGTTCCAATAGATTATAAATTCTGTACTTTATTCGTTATAAAATATTGTTCGAAAAGTTATTGAATTGATAACGATTTTTTTCTTAATTGGTGCATCGTACGTAAAGAATCTCATATAACTGAAAATGTTTGTTCTTGTGAGTCTTACAAGATGCCGTAATGTAAATTGCATAAATAATAAAGAAAAAAAAAACTAAAAAGTCGGTGATTGCCCCATAGTGGGGATAGGTACTGTGTATGTAAATTCTCACAAGACTACTCCGACTGGTCAATCACTTCACATCCGAAGTATTTCGGTTTTTCTTAATTATGTACTTTTACCCCATGCTTTCGGACAATACATTGACTGACATTATTTGCGGTCTCTGTGCTTGCACTACTCTGTACATTCTTTTCCGACTGGGTCTTGATATTTTACATTTTTAGTGTTTCTCACTTGAAACTAGAAAAGTATAAATGATCAGTTTGGCTAATGTAAATGAGTAAAAATGCAACCTATTAGGCAGCCTCAAACAAAAAATTACCTTACTAAATATAAGTATTAACCTCAAAATACAACATTCGAGCAGCGTTCATGCGATAAACTCTCTTTGTTTTACCACTTAGGTAACATTTATTTCTTTTCCTACCCATATTTACATTTATAGACACTTAAACGCGTATAAAATAATAAATTAACGATTTTCGCTACAGGCACATCGACTGTTGTTACCTTACGTCACACGTCGAAGCGCCTGGTAATTTATTACGGCAAACTTTTATCTGGCAATATACGATATTATTATTAGGTGTTTTTAATTAAAACGAATTATGTTAATAAACAATATTTTGTATCGAAAATAAAGATAGCAGGTACCTTCGGAATTACAATACAAACATTTTTTCGTAAAAAGAATTTTTCCTAAATTAGAATTCACAGAGTTTTGGAAGAACAATAATTTTTTATATCATTTCTTAACATTCTTTTATTTGTTGGTATATTCATTTATTTTAAAATGACGGTGACATTGTGAAGGACCCGAACAAACCTACAAAAATGTTTTAAAGCTTAGAATTACTTCAGGTCAAAGTTCTAGTCAAGAGAAATACATTAATTTTCGCCAGTTCTCTTCATGTTCGGCCTTAAGGTGGCTCAAGTCGTGGGCTCGAACTCATTGGTGGGCGCGGCCAAAAAGCACGTTGTCTCACCTGGCATCGTGCCCGACAGAGATAGTACCAGTGAAGTAAAAGTGAAGCAAAAAAAGTAAAGCAAATAAAAAATTTCTGATTTCTGATTTCTAAAAAAGAGCAGTTAGAACGCACGTCTTGTTCGTACGGCGTTCCGAACCGTTAGAACAAAAACGAAGTTACACGAACACGATGCACACATACATACCACCCTATTCTGTGCCGCTCGACGCTTGCTAAGAAATCAGCAGTACCTACCTACAAACTCGTACTAAATTATTAGGCACTGCGCTACGTTATCGCTTTATACTATACCTCTATGGCTCTATAGATACCTAATATAGATTGCTTATTTTATTATGTTTTGTTTTCCCCGGGTGGTCATGCAGCGATCACTCAAGAGTTCACGACGCCGAAGCATGAACTGGAACAGTCATCGCAATTTATATCCGTACTAGCTGTTGCCAGCGGCTTCAAACGCGTGAACTCGAAAATTATCCCACAGGAACGAAATACCTGAATAAACGGTATCAAAAAATGTGTTATTCCAGACCAGGTATAACCTATCTCTGAGCTAAATATCATCCAGATCCCTTCAGCTGTTCTGGCGTGATTGAGTAACATACATCTATCCATCCAAACTTTCGCATTTATAATATTTAGATAGTAATTGTAATTAGTTCTGCCTACCTATAAATTGTTTTCAAAAATACTTACCTGTCTTCTTACTTTTTTTATATACACACAATATCACTAGATGTAAACACATGTTTTTATCAAGACAAGTGACCCGTCAAGACTGTTTCCTTAGTACCGACGTACTTAGGCAGGTAGTAGTAGGTAGGCAAAAACGATTACTACTGAAAAACTAAATAGGTACCTACCTAACATTCAAATAAAAATATTCTCAAAAAGCTCAACCAATTCAGAATTTAATTTTGTTAAAAGAAAATTGGTCAAATAAAAAATAAAGGATGAAAATAAAGCATATGGGAATATAAAAATAAATCGTATTTATTTGAATAAAACTATTATTTACGGATTTTATCGCGTTTAATTACTTTAATTTATTTTTATTATTATCCCGACGTTTCGGGTGCTTTACAGCGCCCATGGTCCCCCCCGTGACCTGGGGAATAAATAATAGTTTTATTCAATGTGTAGTGTTCGCGTAAATTTAAGAAATCGTATTTATTTGTTATTTCGAGTTTTACAAGAAAAGCATAATATTTACTGGAGAGAATTATTTTATTATTATAATAGTACATGATATTCCCTTTAAAATGACACCAATATGAATAATATCTTATATCTATATCTACAAATAAATAAAATTTAAGTGTCTGTTTGTAATGTTAAAATAACAGCTTTTTATTAAATGCATATGAAAGTACTAGTAACAAAAACACATTTTTTAAAATTTCAAACACCACAATCTCTAATTTTTTACTCTGCTATCTTCAGCGCTGTACACGAACGGAACGATGTCGTTGAGAGCCGTGGTAGCTCACATGGTTAGCGCTCGTTATAGGTATCACAGTACGGGAGCAACCCGGGTTCGATTCCCACTGGCACCAATGAAATTGTTGCGTGCTGATTTAGCTATCAGTTGGAAAGTCTGTTTTTCTGGGCCGTTTTGTTTTGTTACACTGACATCTCGCAAGTCACCTAGGGACCTAGGAGGTTGTCGGTTGCTTATTTTTTATTTTTTCTTTAAAATTTTCGTCGGTAAAATAACATATTTATAAAAGTAAAAAAAAGTAAAGTTACAGCCTATATACGTCCCACTGCTGGGCACAGGCCTCCTCTAATTTCTGAGAGGGTTTTAAGGCAAGGAAATGTCCGCCACGCTGCCTCAATGCGTGTTGACGAACTTCACATTTCTTCGAAATATATATTTTTTAATTTCTCAGACATGCAGACCCGAGTTCGATCCCCGCCGGTATCAATGAAATTGTTAATTGCAATTGTGCTGATTTACCACGTGCTCGGCGGTGAAGGAAAACATATTGAGGAAACCTGCACGTCTGAGAATATAATTATAATCGAATGTAAATCAAATTGACATAGGTAAGTACAGATAAAATTAGCGGAACATTAATAAAATTTTGAGATCGTTTTTTTTTTTCAAAATTTTATTTATACATTCCTCTATTTTTGTCTGTGCTTATATCAATTTGATTTAATCCAAAGTTCAAGCAGGGGTCAATGTAGCGCAGTATACGAACGTCACAGGCCGCAGCTGACAATGACGTCGAATAAAACTAGAATAAGCGCGCGTCACCGCGCATGCATGTGTGTGTAAGTGTCGTCCTCCCGCACCGCACCGAGGGAAAAATTATTCAGTGAGATGCACGATAATTCATATAAACACGCGCGCGTAAAAAAATACGAAAAGGCCTTTGGAAGGAGGGGTCTTATGAAAAACCCACTGCATGAATCAATTACCAATAAAATTTATTGAATTCTTCGATAATTGAGCTGTGTCGGTACCGACTTTGTTTTGGAAATTTTACACTGCTTTTATTACTAATTTACGCCCAAAGTTGTGTTAAAATTGGCAATAAAAACGAATCTTTGGTAGCTCGTAACTTTTTACTGACTTTTTATTTTACTATTCTGTTTCGGTACAGACAAAATTAATAATGAGACAAAACGGTATCATGTTTAACTTTGGATGTACACTGTTAAACAGCGGAGTAAAACCCCTTCGAAATTTCTATGGAAATAATGTCGACTAGAGTCACCTTAAAGCGTGCAATTCCTGCGCACACCCTCCGAAATGAATCCTATAAAATACCGAGAGGCTGGCTACTCTGCGCCTGTGATCGAGGCTGACAAGATTGGTTTCAACCAAATCAAGATCACCAATGAGCCTCTTAGCACGTCTCTGTACTGAATCCAACGCTGCCAGGTGCAGCACCAGCCCATATGTGACGGCAGTACTCCATGCATGACCGGACTTGCGCTTTATATAAGAGCTGTCCCGGCGTGAAATACCGCCGCACCCTTGCATTAACACCAAGTTTCCTTGCGGCTGCTTTGGCTCCGCCCATAGTTGAGGTTCGGAGAAAATTCAACCCCTAACAACTGAAGGTGGTCAGTGTACTCCAAGGATACATTCCGAAAAATAGGACCCGGGTGAGCGGGCTCCTTTTAGCGGTGAAAAGACATGCTTGTATTTTGGAGGCGTTGAATCTCACGAGATTGGCATCACCCCATTCGAGACTGCCGGTAGAGTGAGATTCACACGCTCAATCATAGCCCCTCTTTTGGACTAGATTTGATCCCGACTGGCCCGAGCACTTGGTTGGTATCTCTCCACAACTGTGCTATCGTCTGCATACCCATAGATACCAGGCATAAGCAGATCGCTAATATGCAGCAGGAAGAGAGTTGCGGAGAGAACAGACCCCTGAAGAACACCGACGTCAGTCGCCACAGGGTCGGATGAGTAGCCATCGACGACGACCCGGAGAGACCGTTCACTCAGGAAATCCTTTATCGATTCAATCAGACCAGGGGATAAGCTGTACGCTGGAAGCTTACCCAAAAGGCTAGCATGCCAAACAATATCAAAGGCCTTCGAGACATCAAGGGAAACAGCAAGTGCTTCTCCACTGTTCTCGAGTGTCTCGCCCCATACGTATGTGGCATACGCTAGAAGGTCCCCAGCTGACCGATTTCGGCGAAACCCGTATTGCCAGTCACTAAGGTTATTTTGTTCTAGATATGCCATTAAGCGTGTGTTCAATATACGCTCCATAATCTTGCAGAGTATGGAGGCAATTGAAATTGGCCGATAGTCAGCAGGGTCGGCACGGCTACCTTTTTTAGGCACAGGCTGCACATTGGCCAGCTTCCAAGATTTGGGCACTATTCCAGTCCTGAATCAGAGGCAAAACAAGCGCGTCAACACAGGAGACAACTCAGGGGCACAGACCTTTAGAACAATAGCCGGTATATCATCAGGTCCACTAGCTTTGTTAACGTCTAGACTTCGCAAGGTTTTAATAACCTCTTTGTTGGTGATACGGACCTCTGACATAGAGGTACCGCAGTGAGGTAATTGAGGTGACACACTGTTGCTACTGTCCAGACGCGCATTGCAAGCGAAAAGAGAAGCAAATATGCCAATGAGCCATCTGGTTTTACCACCGGAGGCAGTGTAGACCCGACAGAAGTTTGTCTCGACCGCTTTGGTGAGAGAATAAAAAGCTCTACTGCCAGATGGTTTGACAGAGAGCTTTGTACCGATGCATTTAATGCTGTCGAAACTGGCTTGCCTAACCCCTTTTTGCAAGAGGTGGCGGCTTGGTTAAAGGCTCTCTTCTTAAGACTAACATCCGTCTCGAGCATTGACCCAGGATAAGTACGCCATATGCTTGTGCTTTTCAGCACGAGCGCACTTGCACAATAAAAATATATCTATCTCGTCCATTTGTCTATCGAAATTTCGAAACATAATTGCATGTTAAAAGCAATTGTTTTAAATCTCAAATGTTCTGTCCTTTTTATATCATTAATGAAAAAAAAACTTTATATATTATAAATGTGGTAATGCATTATTTTAACTGATTGTCATTCATAACCACTCAAGCATCCAAGGTGACTGTTGTCCCCACAAAAATTCTTGCCTTACCTGTCCATGGCGACTACAGTCACCGAACGACATCGTTCGGTTTAAACGTGTACAATGCTAAAGATAGATGTTAATAATACCGTAAAAAACAAATAAGATATGGTGCTATTTGAAATAAATAATCAGAAAAAAATGTGAAAATAGCCGCCATCCGTCGTTAAATTTGGTTAATCAAAAATGTGATAATCTTTCTGTTTTTTTAGTTATTTTAATGTAAATACATCAAATTAATTGTAAAGATATTTCCTTTAGAAAATATGTGTCATTACGACAATTCCACAACGTTTACATATAATAATTTAGCTCGAAATTTTAATCACTATACATGATCATTGTTTTTTGATTAAAATTGTTTAAAAATGTATTCTAATCGGTTGTTTTTGTTAAATAATTGCTAAAAATAAAATAATAAAATAAAATATTAATTAACACGTTAATAGTCATTTATAAAAGAAATACGTTGAGATGTGTCTAGAAATTATTAAAATGCAACTCATGCAATTCATAACGGCGTTGGGGAGTGAATATTTATATTGAGTAAATATTATATATAATTATCTATACTCAGTAAATAATATGAAATATTAGTGTTATTACAAAGCGTATATCATGTGTTATTATAATATAAAGTAATTGTCTATAGAAACTATTATATTTTTTTGTAAAACTTGAAATAAAATTACGATAATTTTTTTGATAGTCCCAACTTTAAGCTTCATTTTCGTCCTTTATTTTTAATTTAAACAATTTAGTGTCAACAAAATTAAACTCTGATTTTTTGAGCTTTTCGTAAATCTTTTTTTATTTGAATGTAGCTATAGTAGTTGTTCAGAAGTAATAGTTTTTGTTGAGTGTCTCGCGCGGTCGTAAAATAGAAAGTGATATTTAATACGCGGACAGGTGGGGAGAGAATCACTCGCGCGGCTTGGACGCTTGGATAAATATCTAAATGCCTACTATTTTATTACGAACGCACACATTCTCAAGGCTCGCTCGGTCGGCAAAAAAACCTTGCGAATTGAATCAAACATAATGGAGCGTGTTGTACGCGTGTTGTTGGGCACGCCACCGTAAAAATCTAAATCTTTCCCTGAGGAATAAGATTCTCATTATAGAAAAAGAGTCCCCAGTGATAAGATGCTGAGCGGAAAATGCATCTGTACGCAGATGGCTAGTCTCCGTTAGGAGTGGGCGGCGCGAGTGGAGGACACTTGTGTACCTGTGAGCATGCTCTCGTTGACGATGCAGGTGCCAGTGAGCAGCATGGCATCGCAGGGTATGACACAGCCATCGGGAGGCAGCACCAGCACGTCACCGGGCAAGAGGCGTGCCGCCGCCGTCATGCACTCCTCGCGCCCCGCGCGCGTGGTCATACTGGTGTACCTGTGAGCATGATCTCGTTGACGATGCAGGTGCCAGTGAGCAGCATGGCATCGCAGGGTATGACACAGCCGTCGGGAGGCAGCACCAACACGTCACGGGGCAAGAGGCGTGCCGCCGCCGTCATGCACTCCTCGCGCCCCGCGCGCGTGGTAATACTGGTGTACCTGTGAGCATGATCTCGTTGACGATGCAGGTGCCAGTGAGCAGCATGGCATCGCAGGGTATGACACAGCCGTCGGGAGGCAGCACCAACACGTCACGGGGCAAGAGGCGTGCCACCGCCGTCATGCACTCCTCGCGCCCCGCGCGCGTGGTAATACTGGTGTACCTGTGAGCATGATCTCGTTGACGATGCAGGTGCCAGTGAGCAGCATGGCGTCGCAGGGTATGACACAGCCGTCGGGAGGCAGCACCAATACGTCACGGGGCAAGAGGCGTGCCGCCGCCGTCATGCACTCCTCGCGCCCCGCGCGCGTGGAGATACTGGTGTACCTGTGAGCATGCTTTCGTTGACGATGCAGGTGCCGGTGAGCAGCATGGCGTCGCAGGGCATGACGCAGCCGTCGGGCGGCAGCACCAACACGTCGCCGGGCACGAGGCGTTTCGCCGCCGCCACGCACTCCTCGCGCCCTGCGCGCGTCGGCCGCACCACCGTCACCATAAAAGAGCACGTCGAACCCGCCATCTTGTGCAGGTTTATGCTCATCTGCAAATCGTACACTCTGTTCCAAACAATACTATAATACGATGCCATAAAATTGGCTCTTCATAGAAGCAATAAAGCAATTCCTTTTATATAGTAACTTAACTGTTCTCCGCGACTTCACCCGCGTGGAATTTATTACGAATGGATTGGAATAGAATGGAATGGGTTTTAATTTTTTTGCGCGGAACCCTAATGCTTTTTCTAAAATAAAAGTAATCTTAGTAAATCCTTTTAACATCAGCTATCTGCCAGTGAAAGTCCCGTCAAATTCGGTCAATCCCTTTCCGACATTAGCCGGAACAAACACACACAAAAATTTAAAAAATTGTTCTTTTGTCTTAAGTACCATATATATTTTCTTATGCATTTAGCGAAAAGCTGGTAATTTGACATTACATACAGACACTTAAATTTTATTTCTTTGTACAGTTATTAATTAGTTTTTACAAATTTAATTTAATAGATATATAGTCCGATCGCGTTAAGAAAATAGTGAGACATCGTTGTCCGCCGGCCTGGCCGCGCCCCCCAGCCAATTAAAATGCAAGAAATTAGAAAGTCGAGTTCACAGTAACCAGTTGAAGTCAGGCCTTCGAACAAAACGGTTGTGTATTTTGCGTGTTACTCGTTCAACATTAAATTTTGAAAATGAATACCTCACCTATTCGAAAGAATAAAAGTGGATCAATAATCCATAGCGAAGAGAGACGCGTAATTTACAATGTTTACAAGTACTTTAAACTGTGTGATTTAAATGCGACTGTGGAGAGCACAGTAATAAAAACAGCAAGTGCATGTGGTGTGTCCGAAAATACTGTTTATAAAATTATTAAAGAACAAAAGGATACTAACACATTATGCTGACGCAATAGCATTAATAGACGCTAATCGTTAGAAGAAGTGTTGCGATCACGTGATACGCGAAGAAAATACCATGTGGAATTTGGATGACATCATGGAACTTGCAGAACAAAATTCTGTCATAATTAATGTAACTGGAGAATCTAGCGATACTGATTAGTGATTTAAGTAATTTTAAGAAAATTTGTTTCCATTAAACTTAATTAAATGATTGAAAAAAAAATTTTTACTCCACTGTGAATACATCTTTACCCTGTAGTTGCACTGATGAGTCACTATTTTCTTAACGCGAACGGACTATAATTATTACAGTATGAACGAGGCACCTCAACCGGTGAAGTGGAAAACCAAAAACCCTTGTTACTGGAAACAAGTTATTCTTCTTCAAAGTGACAACGCATCTTCATTTTGATTCTTAATCGAGGATGACACTGAAAGTTCTTAGAAAATCAAAAACTGAACAAGCCAACAAGTTATTAGTTATATTATATTTTCAAAATAGTGTCCATTTACATCAATACATCGCTGCATCGCTTGCGCGAGCAACAGCTCTATTATGTTATTCAATGTTGAACATATTGTTTAGTTTAGTACATTACCCATTACCTAACAATACTATATTTTGTATTTTTTACTATGCAGTGTTTCCTTCGTTTAATTTTTATAACAATATATAATGGTTCATACCTATTTTTTATCTTTAAACGGCTTCGTGGCGCAGTGGCTTAGCAATGAGTTACAGCGCTAGGGGCCGCGGGGTCGAATCCCGCACGGAACAAGTATTTGTATAGTCTACAAGTAATTGTTACGGGTCTGGATGTTTGTGCTTGTGAAATTTATTTTTATAAACTGCCCCCACGATACAGGAGAAAATCCTAAACCTGGCTGTCGGTTTACTTGTCTGTTGTAAACACTGGGCTGTTACAATTAGTTGAGCCCAGCCAAGCAACACAATATCAATATCTATTGCTTATTATCATTAGACAAAAATTACATCATGGATATAAATTTCTTCGAGAAAATGCTAGTAGCTGACTTGCAATTTTTTGAATGATTTGCTCATACTATCCACGCTGATCAGGACTGGTTGGGTTGCACAGAGCCAACAGTGTGAAATTGATTATGATGCTCAACATCACCAGTATGCGGTTTAAGTTCGGCATTTTCAAATGAACAAAAATGATCAAAATATACGCCCTGATAGGTTTTTAAAGATACAATTACACGGAACATTTCTGTTCGTCCACATACATAGAAATAGTGGATGGTAGCATTTTGTGATTTGGAAATTCTTCCCTCGTTTATTTGAAACTTAAATTATAAGTCAAACCAATTTCCAGGGCGCGGAAACTGTCAGTCTAAGGAGAAAAACGTCATTTGATCACAATGAAGTTTTTTTTTTTAATTTTTACCTCATTATAAAACTTGCAAACACGCACAGATTAGTCATGGCTCAGTCGGCGATAGACAGAGATTTCATATAGTTTGGTTTGCCAGTCGACGAAGCTTACTTGCCTGTCTTCTATTTCGAGATTTTTTTTGTCTTAATTATAATTAGGTACTTATGTCGAAACAAGAAAACTATGAATATTTAATCCCTTCTTTTCACATATTTCTTCGAAATTAATTTAGACAAAAAGTTCCATTGCATTAGTAATTGGCATAGTTATTATTCAATTCAATTCGGGTTCGATCCCCGCCGGCACCAATGAAGTTGTTAATTGCAATTTTAAGTTCTGATTTACCACGTGCTCAGTGGTGAAGGAAAACATCGTGAGGAAACCTGCATGTCTGAGAAATAAGAAAAAAAAATATTTCGAAGACATGTGAAGTTCGCCAACACGCATTGGAGCAGCGCGGCGGACAATTCTTTGCCCTAAAACCCTCTCAGAAATTAGTGGAGGCCTGTAACCAGCAGTGGAACGTATATAGGCTGTAACTTTTTTACTTTTAACAGTTATTATTTGCCCACACGTTCAACCGCGTGTTTATTATAACGATTCTTTAGATGGAGGGTTTTAACATCAGATTTTATCATTAAGGCCAGTATAAAAGAGGAAAATATTTAAATAAAACATTCTGTATCATGAGTATACAATCTACTTTTATAAAAATATATATCTTGAGATCAGAAAGCTTTCTTAACTAGCAACAACATTAAAAGTTATGTTTTACCTGTTTCGTTTGGTAAAGTGCCAGCATACAAGAGCCCACGGATAAAAAGAAGACGCAAGTTGCATATTGATAGTATTCATCCAACGACCACAGGATAATGGAAAAAACTTGGAATAAATAAAATGGGTTGAAAACTTCGTTAACAAACAGTGTCCAATAGCTCTTTACTTCGACTTCTACAGAGTTGTAGCCATATAGTTTTATCCTGTAATAAACATACATACATTTTTTTAATAATAGTGTAAAAACATCTTCAATCAACAAAGATATATAGACAAAGTGTTTCGTACATTTTAAATAACGCAAAAACCAAGTTAAAACCACGTTCAATTTATTGTAAGAAAACGCTCTCACGCCCACATGCATTTTAAACCGCTTGCAACCAACAACATCGTTTAGATGTATGATACGTTTGCGTCCTGCAGTGGAGATGATTATCATTTATCACTGCGGCGAATTACTAATCATATTGCGCGAACGAGCCAAGTTATTTAGTGCGAGAAAACATAGATAATAATAACTTTTTTGATTTTTCGTCTTCGTAAAGCGAGCGACAATATACATACAGGTACAGTTGAACCTGGATAAGCGAGGGACCGTGATCTCTTTTTCGCTTATGGAGGTTTCAAACTAACCTGAGTTTCTAGCTTATAGGTTCAGGAGTAGCGTTTTTCATTTATAAGTATTTATAAAAAATACAGCAAATGTGTAGAGAGCATGTCGAAAATAAACATAAGTATGTATTGTATCGGTATTATTCATTAGAATTAGACAAAGATGCTTACAAAAAGAAAACAAAAAATCATATATCAATATTTACGAAAAGAAATGCGTTAATCATTTTTCGAGTTTTCCCGCACTCAGACGCATTCACAGGTTTATAACTTAGAGACAGCACTTTGATTTTTCGTGTTAACATTATGAGTACGTGCCGAACGTTATCAATACAACTGTAGTAAGTTCACAAATAAGTCGAAACACACGCACATTTAGCCATTCCATTAGAATAGATCCAAAAACAATGTCGGTTAGTTCTTCGAAAATGAGGTTCATGAGTGAAAAACGACTTTCTCTAACAGAGGTTGCTGTTTCTCACTTATAGAGCTTATATTACGTTTTATAGGATTAAAATAGCGGGGCCCGGCAATAACTCTCACGTACAGAGTTTTCTCGCTACAAGTCTACTAAAAGTGTAAATAGAGGTGGGCCATAAGTGTTGTACTTTTAAATTAACATGAAAAAAATCGATACATTGTATTCAAATGTTTTTTTTTTAAATAAATTAAAAGGGAAAATTATATCTTAAAAATAATCGTCGAGGTGGCCGCCATATCGCCGCTGGCATTCCTGAAATGAATAATGCGAACAAAAGAAAATGAAAATGTAATGGATGGCCGTAAGATTTTAGAACTCTGGTTATAACTGGTTTGTTACCCATTTCTTGACGAATATCATCCTTTTATTGGGGTATTTATTGTTCTTGATTTATTCACGTAATCTCGACTTTTAAGATAGCCCCACAGATAGAAATCAGCTGTAGTAAGGTCTGGGTTGCGGGGAGGCCATAGAAAGTCATCCCTGCGCAAGATAAATTTGTTAGGGAACAGTAAGCTAGTAAGTTAACCAAGGGTAAACTCTCGTTAGATGTATGACAGGTAGCTCCATTTAGCTACAATCCAAGTCCTACTGTGGTAACGATAAAAATTCTGTTTGAACAAAATCACATAGTCACTGATTTACCGCATGAATTTTAAAAGGCCAATTATGCCCTTTGAAGACAATGCTGCCCAAACCGTCACCTTTGGAGAATGCATTGTATTGATGTTTTAGTTTATGGTTTTCTCTACTCCAGAATTTAGTTTTTTTAATTTTGTTTTTTCTTAGGACAAGCGATGACAAATAAAGTGTAGTTTCCAAAAATTAATGAGTCACAAAATCGATAAACGAAAAATTTACGCATTATGTACGGCGTGCAGCGTATTTGAATAATTTTAGCACAATATATTTAATTTTGTCTAAATGTGGCACTTATAAATGAAAACAAAAATTTAATATGCCTGGTTTTGCTTTATCTACTACGATTTTATAGCTGTGTTATCTATTTCAATCTATGACTATGGTAGCATATATAATTTGAGAATGTTTAGATGTTTTAGGAAAGATTATTATAGGAGAAAAAAGACATGCAAAGAAGTGCCAGACTATCATTAACTAGGCACTAACAAGATATCGGTATACAAGTGAGACTGTTGCTTTTAGACCAATATATTATTTTTTCTTTTAAGCAAGACTTTTGGGATCAATAAAAGAAATTTTTTGATTTAAACTGAACTGATTAGACATATTCTTTATCATCATTTAGTACATACTTCCTCCTTTGTGAAGTACATTTTATTGAGAAATAGATACCCTTCCTTGAATGCAGAGATAAATATATGATATGTGATAAGAATAGATTATATATTTTAGATCATCACAAGTTGTGATAGTGAAAATAAAATTGATGTCAACATTTCAACTAGCTATTGTTTTAGACCCATGATTTGCAAAAAAATACGAAATCCATATTATTATTATTATATTAAAATAAATGTCTACTTACAATTCATTCTGCTGCCGTTTATTGATGCCAGACATATTTTCCATTAACAAGCTGATAGTCATTTTTTCATTGAGAGTTTGAACATTTATAAAAACGCCATGGTCGCTGAGCCAAATGAAGCGACTGTGTTGATAAATAAAGTAACGTAGTTTATTGTCCCGATGATTGGAGAGATTAAGATCAACTTCATAAACAGGCTGCATCACGAATGTGCCCTCTGCATCCGTTACTGAAATAATGATTATATATATATTTATATATATTTTTTACAAAGGAGTAGCCTTGTAATCCGACAGTTTACAGATCCAATGCTAAGATTCTATATGTTATATATATGTACTCCGAAGTACAAATCATACTTCATTATGTATGTCAAATTTAGTAAATTAAACAACACAATAGAGAACTTATGTTTTATTATAAAATTAACGTCATTAAAGCTATAGAACTCAGAAAAAATATGCCATAACTTTACATTAGGAAATAATTGTGTACAAACAAATGTACATACTAAAATAATCAAAAATTATGAATCAATCAATTAAAGAAGCATCAATGTAAGAGCGTCATCAAGAAGCAGTAACACTTTTTGAAGAAAATTATGATCTTTCAACCATTTTCAGAATCAAACTTTTCAATCTGAATCAAAACAATACCCTACACGTCGAGCACAATAGTGATGGGGCGTACAAGTTATAACTTGTTCAATCATGCATTAGCGACTATTGTAAAAAAAAATCAATAATAAATAATAGACCATGTCGGATTACAGGGGGCGCTTGATTAGACAGGGGCCGGATTACCTGAGGTCCACTGTATTTATTAACCTTTTGAGCGCCACGCCAAAATCGCATTACCGTGTCCTGTACGCCTTGAAGCGAAAAGTAAACAAAAATACCTACGAAAAAATAGTGTTGCCAAGAGTTGATATATCGATAACACAAAATAACTTGATTTTGTTGGTTTTTTATGTAATAAATAACTTTAAACATTTTATAAACTGGTATGTTTTATTTAATCTTGTGCTGTCTTCCACTTTTTTATATATGTACGTTGTACATAAATAAAAAAACAAACAATAACAATAGAATAGTAGTAAACCACAGCACGACTTTCCATCGTGATGACGTCACTGTCACGAATGGACAACACCGACGTAGCTGACCTTCCTTTTTGAAACTTTCTTAGAGACGTAGCCGTGTCGATTTCGAAATCGATCTAACCAAATTATACAGACATCGATTCAAAATATTTTATGTGTGGGGGGGAGGCGTAGGAAAAGTGAAGCACAGAAAAAAAGTCTTACACTCTTATGACTATGGTGGTTTGATATGGTGCTGATGCTGCCTGATGATTTTGAGATTGCGAAAGAAAATCGCACAACACAAAATGAAAAATTGCTTTTGCCTTAAGTAAAAAAACACATTTATTATTTGTAATTTTATATTATTAAAATAAAAAAATTCATCATCATCGACGCTTTCCAAAATGCGAATGAGTTCTGAGAAATCGTTCATGTTGCACTGCACTACTTTTTCCGCTATTTGTTTATGACGTCTTCAGGGTGTCGTCTATCCTTGACCACGGCGCCCAATGAATTGATAATCCATGACGCGCTAAGGGTGCGCCAGAGTTGAGATATTAGATTTATTATGCGAAGTTGATTTGATGAAATCTTCTTTTATTTATGTAGCTGATGATAGTTTTATGTTTCTTACTTTTTGTTTTATTAAATATAGTAAAACTAAAGTTTGTTTTGAAAGTTATCCATGCCTAACGCATTACAACACTGGAGGTCAAACATAGACGACTTTGGCGTGCTGGACTATTTACTTAGATCAAAATCCATTTTTTTTTAGTTCAATGTTTCTTAGTACTTGTTGCTCTAGGAGACTTGTTTTTTTATATTCACATGTTGCTGGCTTATTCTTTTTTGAGGAGTGTAGAATTAAAATACCAGTAATAATTTTCCAATATCTATATTTCATATTTTTGTGGGCCCGGTTTTTTGTCAACTATAGACGTCGTTGGCGTTCAGGGCCCGCAGGTGCTGGTCAAGTATAGGCGACTTTGGCGCTCAAAAGGTTAATGTTCTTCAATTTGTTTAAACGTTGATAAGTAGTCCACTACAGGACATGGCCCTATCTGATAGTTGTTAGAATTGCGACGCTACACATGGCATACGATTTGACAATTGCAATAACAATGCCTTGCACTGTTGATGTTACCCTTATTTGCTGGTAAAAGAAACATCTTTTTTATTAACTAACTGCAATGGTATTTAAATAGTGCATTGTATGACAGATTGCTACTAAGTTACAGCCTATATATACCCGTCCCACTCCTGGGCACAGGCCTGCCGCTCATTTCTGAGAGGGTTTTAGGGCAAGAAAATGTCCGCCGCGCTGCCCCAATGCGTGTTGGCTAACTTCACATGTCTTCGAAATAGTTTTTTTTCTTACACATGCAGGTTTCCTCACGATGTTTTCATTCAACGCCGAGCACGTGGTAAATCAGCACTAAAAATTGCAATTGACAATTTCACTGGTGCCGGCGGGAATCGAACCCGGTTTGCTCGCGTACTGTGAAATTTACAGCAAGCGCTAACCATCTGAGTTACCACGGCTTTTAATTGCTACTAGCAAGATATTAATTAATATTGAACTTACCACATATAACATCAGCCATTCTCAAACTGGATTTGATGTATTTCATTTTGTTGTATGAAGGATAATAAGCTAGCGCAAAATAAGGCAATCCACATAATGCCATACAAACTGAATGAAATAAAAGAGCCCGCAATTTTGAATATTGATATCCACGTATCTTGATGACTTGTTCATCAGTAGAATTTTCAAAGACCTGCCATTGGGTTTCTCCAATAACCTCATATTCATCTGAAAATTAAATAAATAATATCAAACTGATTCTTAACTATCGAATTACGAGATCTGAAGGTAATTAACATAATCTCTTAAGTGCAATCAAACAAAATCAATGAAAACAGAAATGAAAACCTTATAAACACTAATATACTTCAAAAGTATATTATACCTAATATACCTGAAATGATTGAACATTTTTATTTCATTGAATTTTTGGGTGTATTTTTTTAAGTAATATTTTTTTATAGATTATGGGTCATCATAAATGAGCATAATGCCTCATATATACTAAGCTCTTATTTTAAGCTGGTATTTTGTGAGAGTGGTCCTTTCCTGGTTGAACCAACCTATTTGTACTACAACCACCATATATCTGCAGTGACTCAAAGTAATTATGGCAATTTATACATAGTATGTCTGTAATATCAAAATAACTGCATTTTATATAGCTGGGAGGGGTAATTTTTATGCTATTAAGACATTAATAGCATTCCTAAAATTTTTGTCAGTCTGTTTGAGCTATATTTTAACCAAAAAGCTTGGATTTTTTTCTTTGGAAATCGAAAAATTGATAAAATAAATGGTCTTTGATGATTATCTTAAATGGAAATAGTGCTGCATAATTAAATCCAATTGATATGACGAGTGACGACTTACCGCCAATTATGAATTTGATTTAAAAAAATATTGCGTTATCTACTTTAAGACAATTATTTATCTATTTATTTATTTGGTTCACCAACAAATGTTACACTAATACATTTGCTTAATTCTAAGACAGTGATATAAACTAAGTGCACATTCAATAATAGGTAAACACCGCATGCTTAGTGCTCACAGCATTTCCTACAAGCCTTTACATAATAGCTAAAAATATACAATACACAATTACAAAAAAATTAAATTAAGTAATAAAAAAAAATTAGGTACTACAAAGAAATATTAATAGTTTGATAAATTTTGTATCGAAAAACATTAAAAGAGTCGTGGTGAATATCTACTACATTATTATAAGTATATAAAAGTCTGCAAAGTCTGGGTATTGGGAAATTAGATCCTAGTACAGTTCTACGAAGGGGCGGCGAAAGAGGAGTAATGTGCTTACGAGGATATCTAATTGGGATACGAAAATTAAATTTACTTAGTAATAAAGGACAATCTAACTTATTTCTAAATATTTTATATAAAAGTTGCAAATCCAGAATATCCCGGCGTTTAGACAGTGAGACCATTTTAAATGTCTTTAATCTGTCAACATATGATGCATTTTTATATGATTTTCGTGTTGAAAAGGTAAGATGCCATAAAAATCTTTTTTGTATGCGCTCCAGCCGTAGGGTATGGGTAGAATAATGGGGACGCAAGACTGTGCTACAATATTCTAATATACTTCTAACAATTGAGAAGTATAAGTTTTTTGTGGTAACATTACGGAATTATTTACTGTTTCTTATAAGAAAACCTAATGATTGAGATGATCTTTTAATAACACTTTCTAGTTGTGGTATAAATGTAAGCTTTTTATCGAATACTACACCTAGGTCCTTAACAGTTTCCACTTCTTGGATAACTACTCCATTGATGGTATAAACAGATGGAAAAATATTATTTTCGCGCGTGAATTTAACGTGTACACATTTTTTTTTAGATTAAGATTCATTCCATTAAGATCGCACCATTTGGAAAGTCTAATTAAATCCTCCTGAAGAAGTATCATGTCTGACGATTTATTAACGATTTTGCAGAATTTTAAATTGTCAGCATACATAAAACAATTGGAATGTAAGAAACAATTATTAATATCGTTAATAAACATGTTAAATAAAATTGGCCCCAAATGTGATCCTTGGGGAACTCCGGATGTGATGGGAAATACATCAGACCTGAACCCATTAACAATAATAAAATACTTTCGACCTTCTAGATAAGACCTTAACCACGTGAGAATAGGGCCTGCAAAACCATAAGCTTCTAACTTTCTTAAAAGCATAACATGTGACACTCGATCGAAAGAAATCAGTATATATTACATCTATTTGCTGTTGCGTGTCTACAGCTTTCACTAAGGTTTCAACAAACGTAACTAAATTAGAGCTAGTCGAACGAAATTTGACAAATCCATGTTGGTCATCTGTAATAAACTGTCTTGCATAATTTTGAATAGAGGGACATATTAATGATTCAAATATTTTGGGAAAGATTGATAATATTGAAAATGGTCTATAATTACTAACCAAAGTTTCATCATTCGCTTTATGTATAGAGAAAGGACAACTTTAGCGACCTTCCACATCTGGAAAGCGTCCTGTTTGTAAAGACTTGTTATATATAAAACAAAGAGGAGTAGATAGTTCTATGGCACATTCAGCGATGTAGTAAGGTGAAATAGCTGCCTTTTTTCGGTCTAAGCCCTTTAATTTTTTTAAAACTGATTTTTCATCCAAAATCAAAGTGCCAAAATAATAATTATTGTTATCTAAATATTTTAAATACTCGTCATTTGAATCATATTCATCAAGCCTGTTAGGATTGTCCACGGTGTATACTGAGGAGAAATGTGAGGCAAAAATATTGCATATATCACACCCATCTGTTATCATTACACTACCATTAGTCATTGCACTTGGATACTTACTATTCCCATGCCGTTTAGTTTTGATGTAAGACCAAAAAGTTTTAGAATTTATGACAATATTATCTTCTATACATTTTATATAAGCGTAGTAACAGGTTTTAGCTAATTTATCACATCTCTTATTAAGTAACTTTAGGCTGAGTAAATCCATTGCGTTATTATATTTTTTATACCTAGACCTCACCTTATTTTTTTCCTTCATTACATTAATCAGACTCCGACTAAGCCAAATAAGATATTTACTACTTTTGATCGTACTGCATGGGACAAATTTTTCTATTGTTAAATTTATAATTATATAAAAAACTGAGATGATACTATTTATGTCATCCAGCTTCTTAAATAACACGTCCCAATTGATTTTACTTAAATGTTCACGAATTTTGTCATAATCAGCTTTATAGAAATTACGCTTTTTGATATTAGAATTGTATTTTAGTTTATGCTTCTCAGATACAAGTAGTTGTTTTTCAATCGGAGGATGTAAAGGATCTATGTTGCTCAATATATCATATGCCTCATTAAGATTGCAATGTGAACAATTTATTAGAACTAAATCCGGGATCCTCTCCATTTTATTTTCGACGAGATTGCACTGTCGTAATTTATTAATTGGCCTTTGAGCCATAAAGGGAGCAGAATAATTGCTATTCAATTCATTGACGAGATTCCAATTAACGTTAGGTAAGTTAAAATCACCAACAATGCAAGTCTTTAGTTTCAATTTCTCAAACAAGGAGTTACAGTTACTAAGAAAACATTCCAATATTTTAAACTGAATTTTATGAATTAGGTTTAATAATAAGAATTTTAAGAATAGGATTACCAGAGTTAGCTTTTTTTTTTTCATTTATTAACTCATGCTATATTTAAGGCTTTATTATTTATATACATACATAATACATAACACTCACGCCTGTCACCCAGAGGGGTAGGCAGAGACTACGGACTTCCATTTAGCACGATCCTGACATACCTCTTTCGCCTTCTTTACATCCATATATCTACGCATACATGCTCGTCGGTTAAGGGTACTTCTAACGTGGCCCATTTTCAAAATATCGCCAATTTGGTCGATAAACTTTTTTCTAAGGCGTCCCTTCCCGACTCGGCCTATTATTCGGCTTCGGCTATTATTTATATGTGCTTTGTTTATTCGTATAATAAATGATAATCAAGATATTCGTTTTATAGAGGGAATTAGTTTATATATTCCTATGACTTCTTTATGTATAAATATTTCTAATTTAGCTTTATATGGAATTCCTTTTTTAACTGGATTTTATTCAAAGGATTTAATTTTAGAAATAGTAAGAATGAGAAATTTAGATATATATATATATTTTTTCAATATTATTTTTTTTACAGGTTTAACAATATTTTATAGCAATGCAATGAATAGTCCAATAAAAAAGGTTCTCGAGTGGCAGCCTCGTACCGGTAGGCATAGTGTATGGCGACCCCCCACTAGATGGAGTGACGACCTGGTGAGACATGCAGGAAGTCGATAGATGCAGGTGGCTCAGGACTATGCTTTGTGGCATTACTTGGGGGAGGTCTATGTTCAGCAGTGGACTTGTGAAGGGCTGTAATGATGATGATGATTTAAATCCAATCCAGGCGAAGCTGGGGCAGGTTGCTAGTCTTCAATATTTTACTTCCATGACTTATTATAACTTTCTTAACATAATATTAAATTTCTCAGACAAGGTTTGCTCTGTTTTTCCTTATCAGATCATATTGGAAGAATGTCACGTTATACATATAAAGTACGTAAACAGTGCATGTTAGACAGTTCTTTGAACTGGGTTTCAGTAATAGTAATAATAACAATAATGTCCTCCAGACCGAATTTCGGCCACGGCGGCCTGCCTCAACAGAGGCTAGCCATTGGCGCAGGACAAGATTATAGTGCCCAAGTGTACGCGCAAGCACAGATGCACTCTCTATTCCCTCACTCGATGGGACGGTAAACCGACCATGACCGAAGAGAGATCAGGTGCAGAACCAACGGCTTTACATGCTTTCCGAGGCACGGGGGCGAGACACCGCCAACATCCTGACTCCGGGCAACTACTGAGAATTTCTTGACAGAAAAACTCAATAATTAATTTTTTTTGGCCCGACCCGGGATTCGAACCCAAGACCTCATGATCAGCAGTCGCACAACTACAACCACTAGACCAACAAGGCAGTTCATTACAAAAATTGTATTGCTATTATCAGCAAAAGTATTGATAATAGCAATACAATTTTTGTAATGATTCAGTTCAACAGGTGGCACCTTTTCCGTGATTAACAATGGTAAGTGAATTGTGTGTTAATAATACGGAAGATCAAGATCAAGCATACAGTTTGTGTCAAAAATTGAGCATATAGGCTGTTTCCTACTTTCATTCAAAATAAACAATTACCGAAAAAGAACCTTATTTAAAAATGATTAAGCCAGCACTAATTATTCCAACAACAATTAAATTCTATGTAAATCCTATAATATGCATCAAAAATAACAAAATTAAATATGGGGATAAACAATAAACATCTATTAATCTCATTAGTAAACCTAACTATAAAGGTAATTGTTAGGTGTATGAGGAAATTTGGCGGCAATACTGAACAGAAATGGTAAAAATGAGTAAAATGAGTATGCAGTTCACTCATATGTTATCTGTTCTTAGGGTGATAATTCGGTACATTTACTAAAACTAAAACTAGAAAGCTAGTAAATACTCATCACAATGTATACATATATGCTCATCATAACGTTGGAATACCATTATGATGAGTATGATGTAAAAAATCACGGAATATAAAAAACAAGAGGAAGCCCAAAGTGCCCAAGGGCAGGCCTGTCTCAATTACAGACAGTAGAGAATAATTGGCTGTCAGTCGTAGGCTCAAATTTTCGTGAGCAAATGTGTCGCTGCTTAAGTGAGATATGCGAAAATATGCAGTTTTATACAATATTGGAGTATAAAAACGAAAGTAAAAGTAAAAATATTTCGAAAGGAGTTGTTAAGTACCAAAGACACATGTAATTTTTCCTTTTTTGCATAGAAATGCAACTAAATATGGACAAAATATTAAATTGCCCTTATTACAAGTAATATTCAACCCTAAATCATTATTTTGAGGTTCATCTGTTAAACCATTTAGAATAAAAATTACTGCAATAGAGTTGCAACTACACCGATAATAAAGTTTTCGATAATTTTTTTTTGCAGTCCACTAACATATTAATTATAATGTGCAAGTACTGGATGTCAATGAAAACATAGGAATAATAGGGTGATACCTCATAATTTGCTATGAATGAACATTTTTGTTAGGTTTGCTAAGTCAAATAAATAAGTGAGAAGTTAAGTATTACTCACGACTTTTGGAAAGTAGCTGAAATAAAAGTGATCTTAATATTGTGATCTATATTGGTATCCGAATTCATTATCGCTTATAATTTAATATTGAAGTGTGAAAATGACAATTTTTATACAAATATGTTATTTAAATGACAATAAATAATTGCTAAATTATTGTTTTTTATTATTCTCATTGCTTGACTCGACTTCACTGTTAACAATGACAGCTATATGAATTACAGGGATATACATAGTACATTAAAGCAATTTCCAAGGCATTTTCATATATTTTCCTAAACTTTAATATTGACTGAATATCGATAGCTACTATCACATTCAGGCAGAGTAACTAACATCATTCACATAGCAGTATAGGTTAGGTAGGGCAAACGTTATGTCTATTTAGTTTTTGCCTATAATAGCATGGATTTATTATTGCGACATCTAGTGTCACATAGCAAATTATTTTGTCAATCCTGGAAGCTTCTTAGATTAAGACATAATTACATCTATAAAGAAGAATTTATGGTGCATTTTCAAATAATCGCAGTATTACTGCAACAAAGTTAGAACTTTAAGAAGCTAAATTTGCTATTTCATTATAGAAACTTCCTTGATGAAAAGGAAATATCTCTATTTTTAAGAATTTATGGTTCATATTCAAGCAAATGGTAACATAATGCCTTTCTATTTTATTTTTTATTAGCCAATCACACAAAAATTATTGAAATGGTGCAAAATTATCTGTACACATTTCTTTCTTGCGAATGTGTGGGTTTGGCGAAAGTGGTTCCGGTACAAATTATGCATCTTGCTACTTCCTCTTGTATTTTATATTACGTGGAAAAAATTATCATACAGAGTAAAACCACAACTATAAACGATAGAGAAACATACAGGAACAAATGATGTAACAATTATAGTAAGGAAAATTTAATGTATGAGAACATATTAGAGTCAGGGAAAAAGCTTGTAAAACAGAAATATACAAAATCTTGCAGAAAATAAAACCTGGTCTTTTCCAATAATAAGTGTATAATTAAAATTTTGTACAACCAAATTCAATATAAATAAAATGAGAACATCATTAATGTAGTCAAAGTCAATTAAACACTTAAATAATTTTTAAGGATAATTCAAAAACTGCTGGTCAGATCTTGATCTAATTTATATGGGACTACATGAGAAGCACCAGCCTTCAAATAAAAAAGAATCATCAAAATTGTTTAATCTAGAAAAAGTTCTGAGGTAACACACATTCAAAAAATAGTCAAATTGAGAACTTTCTCCATTTTTTGAAGTCGGTTTAAGAGGCCGACAAAGTTATTGATGCATTTTAAAATATCAATATTTAAGTTCAAAAAAAGCATATAGCAATAATACTAATACATATTTTTTGTAACCTTTGTCTAAGCTTATATTTTAAATATAAATGATAACATTACAATATTTAGAAAATCAATCCAAAATGTCATGAAAACAAAATGCACTGCTGGTAGAAGTAAAATAGGGAAGGAAGTAAATTAATTGGTAATTTAATCTAATTAATCTAATCAACACATTTATAAATATTATACTTACTATTGTGATAAGTGCACATGGTCTCAGAGCGAACTAATGGAAATGACCTATACATAATGAATCAAAACATTATCAAGGCTAATAATATCAACCCTTCATTGATCTCTCACACTACAGTAGCTGTTAGTTTAGTAAAATGATTTACTAGAATTTTAATATGCATCCAATATTTTAAGTTAAGTAACTTATTATATTTCACAGGAACACTTAATGCTATTTTAAATTAAAGCTAACAGTTAAAAATTGCTGACAAGTGCAGTTACTGAGAACAGTCATACAAGTTTAATTGGAGTTAACTGTTCAATAATAAGTGTTCATTGAACCACTTACAATTGTTCATATACATATAAATGACATGCTATTTTGAATGTGTCATTAAAATGTGATCTGGTTATTATTTTTTTATAAATTGCCAAAATTGTAATATAATATATTTATTATGGTACCTAATCTAGACAAGTTATTTGCTTTTGCTTTTTAAGGAAAAATTAAAATTTTTGTACAACAGAATTCAATATAAATAAAATATTTAATGGGTTTTTTTTAAAATCTCTTGACCAATTTCAATAATATTTAAATGGGACCTGCGAAGTATTAATAAATGCTTTGAAACAATGAGAGAATTTTCCAAATCGGTTCAGGAGTCTTAGAGTAATCGGTGGACATACACAAAAAAATTTCATTGTATTCAGAACCTCGTTTTTTGAAGCCAGTTGATAAAGATTATTTTATTAATAAATACAATATATACATGTACATTTTTATGAATAATATTCTAACTCCAGCGTTTGCTCAAGGAGACATTTTACACACCCAAATAATACATGTACTAGCTAGTAGTACTGACAAAATTAATTGCAGGCTATACAAATACTTTTAAAAAGCTAGATAGCAAATTAAAAAAAAAAACAGTTTTAAACTAAGGTAATTTTTTAAAATGCATTCATAGAAAATAGTTAATTAATGTATAAAATGTTTACACAAAATGGATGTATTTAATAACTTGTGCCACATTACCACAGTTTTGAAATGCTAAAATTGCGTACTTTGTGGAGTTAATTGGATAAATACTTAAATAAAATATGATGCTCTACTACTTTATAGATAACACGAAATTTTTTTTATGTGTAAGAACACCTGCACTTGCAAGTGGTTACATTGATTGCAAGATATAATTCTACTAGAAATTAAATTAAGTCATTGCGACATTTTGTGTAAACAAAACCGAGTTAATGATAATATTTCATGATTGTCCATAATTGTAATAAATATTTAAAATATTGGTACTTACCATTGGCAATTGAAGCATTATGCATGTTCGGCATTCCCGAAATTATTTTAGTGACACAAAAACTTAAGACATAATATTTTGGTGTTAGATATTATTTTTGTATAACCGGTGCTACCTCATTGCAGAATATTATAAAGGATTCCAATAAATGAAATCACTATCTCATATCACACCTTTTTAAAAAGATTGAATGAAACCATAGATAAGAGATTTATAGAAATAAACGTCAAGTGTCAAGTGTCAACCTAAATTTTCTTTATAGGCAAAGATATCTATGATCATACTACCTAAATGCATGTATTTTGTTCAGAAAATTATTAGTTATTTCTTTAATTACATATGTATTATAACACTCATATTAAAAATGATTGAAATAGTTTTTAATGTATGTACTATCGACACTTACTCCATTTTGAACTGTAAAATAAGAACTTATTAACTCATTATTATAGTTAGGCGACGATCCCACAGGGAGCAGTAGGAGTCCTATATGTGCAATGTCTTGCTTCGATGTAATCGGTCATAAAATAGTAGTTAGAGCGCTACGGTCAGTGTGCGTGAACTCTCGATCTAGAACTTGACAATGAAATTATATTAATCCTAAATTGAACTACTTTTCAATATTTTTGCGCTAAATTGAACTAATAAGAACCAAAAAATGTTGAAATGTGTTATTTAACATTTATAAAAAAATTCTTTATGATTAACTATTAGTTTATATATTGCGTTTCTTATATAAAAAAAATTTGATCTAAAAATTCTAAACCATAGACAACTATCGTTTTCAATAGTTTAGTAAATGTTTACTAGATGTCACTTCTCTATAATTGCGGGAAGGAAACTATGTTTTTTTTTTTTTTTTTTTATTACTATGACGGACATTATTGATTATTTGGCGCGAATACGTATCAAGTACTCAATTTCACGTAAACGAATACTTGTGTTGATTTATGATAAAAAGTTATCTAAAGTCATATTTTATTGCATTTTTATGATAATCAAAGTAAATGTTATAATATGTCACATAAGGGATTGTTAGGAATGAAAACAGAATATTTAGAAATTAGTGAATACAATTTTACGTGGCCGGGAGAAAATGGTACATTTCAAGATTTCGGATCCGTTAATTACACTATGCCATCAGGTCAGTATTTTTGATTCTTGCCTGGTTAAAAAAATATGATTCCATTCACTTACAAAAATAATATAATTATTGTCTTATTATTATAATATACATAAAAGAAAAACATTTTAGGACCATGGTATTGGCCTTGGTGTCCACTGTGGCGAGTTCCACAACATCCATTATTTCAGGTAATAATGATTTTTTGTTGATGTTCGGAAAACATCGATTTTAATTACATGTATTGATTTATTAATTAACATTTTTATGATAGTTATCGAATATGCTCTTCGTAGCATCCTATTGCGCTCCAAGTACGAAAAAGGGTCAATTATGGATGCATACGATATTAATCTTTGGTAAGTGTTTTTATATGAAATTTAGTATTTGTCTAATTTATATAAAATTTAGATTAATATTAATAAAGTTCATTTTTGTCTTTTTAAGGTTTTATGCTCTATTCAATATGGGCTTGGCACGTTATATGCTCCCCGGATGCATTTTCGTGGAATTTTGGATTTGTATTCTTAAATCTTGCCCAAGTCGTGTACCTTGTATACGAAATGAGGCCAGTGAAGTTTGATCCGGAACTAGAAGAGGTCTATCACACATTATTTGAACCTTTTAAGGTAATTTGTCCTTACTTTACATTCTTTAATATATTATATTACGATCTGTAGAACTGTCGAATAAATCTGTTATTGCCAAATTTTATAAATACAAAATATTATATTTTCAAAATTATTATATATTAAAATATTAAGTATATAAAAGATGGAAAATAAAAAAATAAAAAAATTATCCAATATGAAAAAAAATTCAATACTATCCGAGGGGGTACCGCAATGAAATTAAAAATAAAAAATCTGAAAAATAGTTGACCCTGCATGCCATACTAGAAACATCGCGCTTATTTTCGAGCGCATCGCTCGAAAATCTATTTAATTTTTTTTTGGTTTTAATTTTTTGAAAATCTTTGCGACGGCTTGACCGAGACTTGAAAATATTATTAGCTCAAAGTCTCAATGAATAATTTCGAACACAGTGTCGCCCATCTCAATCGGTTGATTCGTTCTAAAGATATTGTACAAAATTATAATGTTTTTTTAAATATATTTTTAATACAATTAGCTTTAAATTTAGCAAATTTTTGATATATATATATATATATATAATATATTTTTTTTTTTTTAATCAGGATCCTATTTCTTTTTGTTTCATCATCAAAGGTATCCTTAATATTATCGTCTGTCTTCGTTTTTTGGAGCGTTTCAAAAATACCAGTTATATATATATATATATTATATATATATATATATATATATATATATATATGAAACGCTCCAAAAAACGAAGACAGACGATAATATTAAGGATACCTTTGATGATGATACAAAAAGAAATAGGATCCTGATTAAAAAAAATATCATTTTTGCAACGTTTTGTTATCTTTATCCACGCTCTATCACGTTAGTACAGCTAAATGAAACGATAATTTCATTAAAAAAATTATGAAAATACCTAAACATAAAACCAGCAGTGAAACTTAAATACCTAAAATCTAACTGACATGGGTATATATCTATAGTCCGCTCCGCACGCAGCCACATGAGTAGATAAACGGAATTATCTACTCATTTGCCGCCCGAGATCGGACCAATACCTAATAATTTACAACATTTGCCTAAATACCTAACTTATCAACTTAACTTACTATTTTTCCCCTGCGCTAGTCTCCAACTAGTTACTTTAATTCGAATTCATAGGTGAAATAAACCAAATAACTGGTTCGATTCCCCGTTTATGAAAATTTACTTAAATTATCTATCGTGTAGGTGTGAAAAAAATTAGGTATGAAACAGCTTACCGATCTAAACCCTTAAATAAACCCGCCCATACGTTAATCGACCAGTGGGTTTGGTGCTCGGTTTGCCGAATAGCGTGCGGGTTAACCTTGGATACACGTGGTGTATTTCTTTGGTTCTACAGGCCGTTTCTGGTAAATGTCGACTCGTTCGTCCAGATGACCTGCTCAATGCAACTAAGCACACGTTGTTGCTGGTCCAATAATCAACGGCAGAAAACTTGCTGGCAGTCGTGATCGCTGGAAACTAAAGCTTACACTTTGTATGGGCGCATTCGATTACACTTTAACACCTTGTGAACTGTCCAGTGTGACACTTGTTCCATCCCGACGCTTTAAGAATTTAGCGGTAATTAATAAAATTGTAAATTCATAATACACGCGAAGTATTCGTGCGAGCTTTTCCAAGGCAAATTAACATGTCGCCGAATTCACGAGCACTATAAACGTACGCGTTAGGCATTATTAAAACAAAACAAGAAACACAAAACGTTACAACAATTTCTTAAACAAAACTATGGAACTGTCGATCACGCGCACGTCAACACGGACCTGTCTCAAAAACTTAATTAATATTAAATCCCGCCAAAACCAATGTCCTTGCTGTTAGCACTTTGACCATTCCATAGATCATTAAACCGTTACGACATTCCCAAATTTATATTTATAAGTTTAGTTAAACCTACGACTAGTCTTCATATGGAATTCAGAAGTTATAGTTGTCATTTTTTAATATAATTAGACAATCAATTGTACCCGGACGCAACAAACAGTTTGTTACTACAAAAATGATATTGACATTAATAAACGTACCTAATTGGGTACTCATACAATTATAAACTTTCAACCTTATCTTTGAGTTTGTACAAAAAAATTGAAATTAAATGACTGAATAATTTAAAAAGTTAAAAAAGTTAAAAGTTAACTTTTTTAATTTTATTACGCTACGGTGGTAACAGATAGATACATAATCAATTCGAAGTTAATCTCATCCAGTAATTGCAGTTAATTGTGTTCTTTGGAGTAAATTATTATTTTATTTTCAAAATAATGTAAGGAGTGTCTTTTAAGTTCAAAAGAAAAATATCTAGTGAAAATAGATTATTTCAAGATGAGTGGGAAACGGATTATTTTGTTGTGCCAAACAAAAATATTGCATCTACTTGTCTCACATGTTTTGAAAATATTATATTGAAGAAATACAATATTTCGCGTCATTATACCACAAAACATTAATCCTTCGACGAAACGTTTCCTCGTAGATCTTCCTTGAGAAATTGAGTTTTTTTAAGAGACCATTGTATCTTGTTCATCATTGTTTCTGTGGCATTATCACAACACTGCGGTAATTGAGGCATCATATAAAGTTTGTTACATTCTTGTTAAGCATATGAAACAATTTACCGATGCAGAAATTGTAAAGCTTTGTTAGTGCTGCCAATATAGTTATTGATAATTTCAGTAACATAAAGCAAATACTATCTGATATGAAAAAAAAAACAGCTCTCGGATTCAACCTATATGAGTCGTATCGAAGACATTTCAAATTTTTTAGCTTGGCATTCCATTCCAGCATCGACATTTCAGCAACATCGCAATGCTCGATGTTTGTTAGATATTGTACAGAAAACAATTTAATACAGGATTATTTTTAAAATTCTACCGATGAAAGGTCAAACCCGAGGCACAGATTACCTTGAATGAAATTGACATAATACAAAAATAGTGTGTCTGTGTACAGTTGGTTGTCCTTCAATCAGTGGATCCAAAAATGGATTTATTTCGTTATTTAAATAAAAATATAATTTTACTAATTTAATAATATTTCATTGCATTATCCACCAAGAAAACTTGGCGGCGCGTGTTGTAAATCCAGAAACAAAAGCTGTATTGAAAACAGTTATCTATATTGTCCATTATATACGAGAAAGAGAATTGAACCACGGAAGATTTAAAGGCTTTCTGGAAGAACTGGGAAGTCAGTATAACAACGACCTTTAACATACCTCGGCGCAATGGCTTAGTAGAGGAAAAGTTTTGGAAAGGT